ATCAGAGGGCAGCACACGGTGCGATCGCGCGACCCTGACCGTGAGCAATCTCCCAACTCATCTCTGCAAATGAACGACGTTTCAAGGTTATGTCCTTTGGCGGCAATATCAACAGCTCCTGAAGACAAGTGTGTAACTGTAAGTGAGATCGAAGTTAAATCATCCTGTGATATTCAGGAATGCATATTAGGACATTCAATGAATGCAGACAACGATAATTTGCAAATTACGCCTGAAAATGAATCGCCCAATCTACCGGGAAATACGGATCTCGAGGAGCTTCCTTTCGTACGTGAAATTGGAGAGGTTAATTCTGAGACTACTGGGGAAACGGAAGAATCACAGACGGACAAGGTGACAGATAATGTGAAATTAGAACCTCTAGAAGAAGAATTTATTGAATCTCCTGTGCCTGTGAGCTGTGATTGGTCTTGTACACCAACGCTGCTGTGCTCCGCACTAGAAGAGTACAAACCGACAGACCTTTGTGAGAACTTTACGAAAGGCTGCCACTGGTCACCCGATGGCACTTGCTTTCTTGTTCCATCTGAAGATTTCAGAATACGTATTTACGATCTTCCAAAGGAACTGTACAATGGCAATGTATCGAAGGACTTATCTTTGTCCGATTTGAAGCCTGCAGTAACAGTCAAAGAAGGCGGACTAGTCTATGATACTTGCTGGTTTCCTTATATGAGCTCTTGGGATCCAGTAACCTGCTGCTTTCTTAGCACCAGCAGAGAGAGTCCAGTACATCTCTGGGATGCATTCACAGGAAACATAAGAGCAACATATCGAGCTTACAATCTGTAAGAACCTTTATCGATAAGATCATTTCATTTTTTCATATTTGTGAATTGTAATTCTTTTCTTTTTGGATCTATCTTATAGAGTCGACGAAGTAGAGGCTGCTATCAGCACTCGCTTCATTAATTATGGCAAGGAAGTATGGTGTGGTTTTAGAGGAGCACTCAGAATGTTTGATACCGATCGTCCTGGCCGCCAGACGCATACAATTTTTCTTAAGAAAGATTTCCCAAATGTGACAGGCTTAGTCTCGTGTATACGAGAGAATCCATGTATGCCTGGACTGGTTGCTTTTGGGACTTATTCAAAATGCATTGGTCTATACAAAGATAGCCCTATTTGTGCCTTTAAACCAAGCAACGGTGTTACCCAAATTGAATTCAGTCCTTGTGGAATGAAATTGTACTCCGCAGTCAGAAGGAGCAATGAAGTACTTTGTTGGGACCTGAGAAATCCTGGAGTCATTTTGTGGTCACTTCGGGGAAGATGTTCCGATACTAATCAAAGAATACAACTAGCTATTTCCTCCAATGGCTCTGAAATTGTATCGGGTATGGTTATTTTCGAACTAGACATTTCAATTTCTTCATTTAATTCAACGCGGCAATTCAACCCGGTGGTAAATGTAAAAATATGATTTAGGTGGCACAGATGGAGTTGTCAAAGTCTGGAAGCTTGTTGAAACTTCTGACACCTACGAAGAAGACTTAAATCCACGCTTTGACATTAAACTATCCGAAGACTGTGTTAATGGTATAGACTTACACCGAACCCTCCCTATTTTGTTAACTACTACAGGACAGAGAGTGTGTGACTTGGAAGACAAGCCCAGAGACAACAGTGTAAGATTATGGTGGTTTTCATCATTAAGTTGAATGATCTAATAAGCTTCCTATGTGAAAGAAGAATAACAGTGACCCAGGTAATCATTAGAATTATTCATTCTAATCTTTACGGTCAACATTTCATTGAAGTACAGTAACTTAACCAGAACTATACATAGTAAGGTTGAAAACTTAGGATAGAAAGAATTTTTATGAATAGTACTTATTTTACACTGTAATAGAAAAGGAATGTAAATAATTTGTATGTAAGCATTTTAATACATTAAATTCTTTATCACAAAGAGTCAAAGGAAATAAGGTCTCCGGTCTTGAAAGGGATAACATCTTCTTCGGTAGTCGCAAAGAAACTTATCCGGCTGGATCTTTTCTTTTGAGAACGGCGAACATGGGGTGTAACTGGCAGTTTGATTCTTGGTTCCACGCAAGCAGTGCAGCTTATACCTACAAAAAAAAGAGTATTAAATTGCCATAAATTAGAACATACAGTGGTGTTTTCACTTGACAGTGTAAAGAAATTAAAGTACCAGAGAATGTAACGCTTTTTCGCATCGATCGTCTTAGTTTCGGAGTCTGTGGTGGAGTAGTTGGGCTGTCTTGCGCTTCCTTCGCTTTGGTCTTGCGAGACCTAGTCATCCTTGGAGAACTGGCTTCTTCTGCCTCACCCTGCCCTTCTTTTTCATAAGAATTATCCTTCATTTGTCTGCTTCTTCTGTTAGACTTCGGTGTTGACTTTGCCGTAATAGTTCTGGTTCTTAAAGTCCTGACAGTCGACAATTCATCTTCTTCGTCATTTTGTATCCCCAAAGGCCTCTCCGTTAATTCATCAGTTGTACGCTGTGTTTTTAACGCTATCAAAAATTTTTCCATAGACTCATTGAGAGCAAGAGCAGCCTCAAATGATGAAGTAGAAGAAGAGCTTATCTTTTCCTGCTGAAAGTTCATAATTGCAACATTCTTCTTTGCCAACACATTCTCTTTTTCTTCCATGCTTTCGTGTTTACTTTTGAGCATAGGTGAGACTACGGCAATCTTTGCAAACGGGGATTTAGTGGTTCTTCTTTCATTAGTGCTCAATTCAAAGATTTTAGATTTGTGTTCAGTATTCGGCGTTTGTATTTCCAGGGCTCTTGGTGTATCGACGAACGAGGGCATGCGAACCTTCCCAAAAAGTGGAATAGCGGTCAACCCAGCAGGTGCCTTGAACTGATGATTAGGAGGTGCGAATGACTGATTTCTTGTCTTAGTTTCGACAGCGATAACTGGACTCTTGATTCTTTGTACATTTTGTGTCCGAGCTTTTGCTAGCTTAGCGGCTAAACGTTTTTCAGTTGCCCTGGTTATCCTCCTAGGTGGACTAATTTTCTGCGGTCTAGGCGATATTAAACCTTCTTTATGTCTCTTAGTCTTTGATGGCACAGGTGGAGAATAATACTTATGATGTACGACACCGACTTTGAAGGCAGGCTTCTTTTTAATTTGCTCCAGCTTTCGTCGCAACTCCCTCTCTGCCTTCCATTTGGATAATTTACTTTTCTTGTCTTCTGTCGGAGGTTTATTCTCATCTTCTAAAGTTCCGGAAACTAAATGTCTGTGTCTAGAAAAGCATTCGGCTCTCTGGGTCCTTCGATTCTCGTCTTGTCTTGTCGCCCTTAAAATCCGCCCTTCCACTTCGTTTCCAAACCTGAAACCTCGTTGTTTAAATAAATGACGGAATCCCGTCATTTCGGACGTCATTATTCCACTCGTTTAACTATTTTAGTTTCTGAATCCTACGAAGATATCTCTGAGGTTGACGTAACCGTTACGAACGTAAACAATAAAATTTGAATTCTTAAGTTCTGGAAGCATCCGCTAGAGCGCTGCGTTAGCTTCAACCAGAAAGTAAATGTACGTATAAGAGGGTCCACTCAACAATAAGAACTGTTTCCACTAACGTGGCGCCAAGTCGCAGTTCCACTTACGGAATTAAATCCCTTATTGGCTTGAAATTTCAGAAACATGTATATAAATATCGGACAAGGATTTAATATACATATTAAAATAATTATAGTACTCCCTGAACGCGGAGATGGTTAGAGAACGAGGCGATAAAATTTTACTTGTATTTTTCTTTTACAAAATTTTACCTCAGACCGAACTTGTTTATTTCACAGAGGAAATTTCTTAGCATCTAAATACATTAATATCTCATCTTGGGGGGTCGGAACCTTTTCGTGGGTCCTCGTGGAGCCCGTTCGCTCTCGGGTATGTCCTCCAAACACGGTACTCTCACGATATTGAAGTATATCACACCCATCACGTTCGCTGTGGGGTGATTAGCCGTCTTCAGGCACTGATAAAGACCCTCGTCGCAGTTGCAGTGCGACCTGGAATTTATTTTACGATAATTTATGTTCCAGATGGACGAGCCCATAGATAGCCAAACTAAATGAAAATACTTACTTAGTGTACAAAGAGTAATTAGTAACGTCGTATCGCGTCCGCTGGGCGCGAACTTTTGCTGGACAGTGATCATGTGTCCTACAGCACCTAGAACCAACCCAAAAAAGGAATAGACAATGCCTGGAGGATTAAGAAAACAATGATAGTCGCAACCTGAACCTTCTCACCTGTCTATCCTAGCTTCTTGACCTAAATCGTGATAGTTAGTCGCGATGTCCCCAGAGCCGCACCATTTGGTGCCTGCAATGAAAGTAGTTAGATCGCTCGTTGTTGTTTGATAAGAGACTTAATTACCTGGCAGGATCCCTGAAAACAAGGTCAGGGGATTTACTCCTTGTTGGTTCTCCCCGCTGGGCGTGCTGGTGGGCAAGGTTGGTGTTGTTCCTTGAAGGATCACGTCGACCTGATCGCATTGTTGCATCAGGGTCGTCATGTCCTGGAAGGATATCTCTCGAGGCTCTCCCAGGACGGAGAGGTTCCTCAGCACCTCGACCGCCTCTCTTGGCTCACTGGAGGAAAAGAAAAAAATAGAAAAATCATCCTAATGACCATCGCCCAGACACCAACACCTTTGGGGGAGTTATCTACGAATTTCCGGTATCGGTTACTCAACGCATACTGATAAGCGCGAGGATGCGCTGCCTCGAAAAATCGAACACCCGCCTAGAGTAGATTTAAAAATTCAAGGAAATATGGGGATTGGGTTCTGAGACAAGCACAGAGAAAGAAATAATATCAAATATTTACATCCGAGCTGCGAAATAGGCAGCAGTCCCTAAACAGAATCCGACGTTAAACTACAGTTTGTAAAGTTATTCTTCCTCTCTGCAGCTGTATATGCGTGTATTTGGTGCCAAACTCTACCGAGTTTCCCGATCATCTGATTTCCATTATCATTCCATTTCATAACTAGTTTTTCTTGGTGCAGTCTGGATTTCGTGACGCACTATTCCACCAAGACGTCATTCACTTGCGAAATCGTGCATTTTAGTTTTGGAAATTGTTCGGAAAATATGGGGATTGGGTTCTGAGACAAGCACAGAGAAAGAAATAATATCAAATATTTACATCCGAGCTGCGAAATAGGCAGCAGTCCCTAAACAGAATCCGACGTTAAACTACAGTTTGTAAAGTTATTCTTCCTTTCTGCAGCTGTATATGTGTGTATTTGGTGCCAAACTCTACCGAGTTTCCCGATCATCTGATTTCCATTATCATTCCATTTCATAACTAGTTTTTCTTGGTGCAGTCTGGATTTCGTGACGCACTATTCCACCAAGACGTCATTCACTTGCGAAATCGTGCATTTTAGTTTTGGAAATTGTTCGGAACCGGCGAGAACGATAAACCTCGTTAAGGATCTCTCGAAATCAGTGGGAGAGATTATTTGGCAGGAAGAGAAGTACAAGAAAAATATTTTAAGGTCGCTAGAAGCCTTTTGAAATTGGTGGACATCGGGAGAAATCGCAGATACTTTGTTACAGATATTTTCATGTCACTTGATGTTGAATTATGTGATCATCGTATAAATTCACGGAAATCGGTTCTTAGTGGACATAGTTTTCTCGCATTTTGCAGTGGATAGCTCCTCGTTATTCGCCTATGCCTGTCGCTCGAGCACTAATAAGCAGAGCGGTGACGTTTTACGGTGTCGAAACCTGTTTAAAAGTTACACCGACCTGCCCATTAGAGTGTCGGTATTGCTTTCCTATCTCTATCGGCCGTGGATGCATGTACACCCGTGGCGGCAAATACCCGCTGGTTTCTACATATTGATCCCTCGGAAGCCACATTTTTAGGGCCTTCGGCGTAAAGGCACCGAGTCCGGTCGATGGAGGATTAATACCGACCAGCCGGTGTCTGGAAAAGGAAGCCATTTCCGGTCATCTTCTTCATGACCCGGAGAACCCGACCTCGGATTGATATCTTCTCCCAAGTGGACACAGAATTTCTTTTTTTTTTTCTTTTACGGGGTCCCGTCAACGATATCGAACTGCAAATATGAACCCCAAATTTCGCGATAACCATCATTATTATCACGAATTAAGCGCGATTAAGACTGGCCAGTCTGGAATAGGAAGCCATTTCCGGTCATCTTTTTCATGACCCGGAGAACTCGACCTAGACTTTAATGTCTTTTCCCAAATCGTCACGGAATTTCTTTCTCCGTTTTTTCTTTTTTTTTTTATGGGATCCCGTCAACGATATCGAGCTACAAATAGGAATATCAAATTTCGCGATAACCATCATTATCGTCACGAATTAAGCGCAATTAAGACTGGCCAGTCTGGAAAAGGAAGGCATTTCCGGTCATCTTTTTCATGACCCAGAGAACTCAACCTCGACTTTGATGTCTTTTCTCAAATGGTCACGGAATGTCTTTCTCTGTTTTTTTATTTTTTTTTATGGGGTCCCGTCAACGATATCGAACTACAAATGGAAACACCGAATTTCTCGATAATCGGGTGGCATTATCATCACGAATTAAGCGCGAGTCACGAACGGCCGTGACTCCGCGCTCGGATCTTTTACAATCGACTTGACAGAAAATTCTCTTCGGTCCATGATAACGATTAGGCGTTTAAGCCGTTCCACGCTGATTTGATATGGGGTTTCGCCACGTGGAGCGAAACGCTCGGGAAACGCAATCGCAATCGTTCAAGATGAGCACGCGTCGAGGGGAGTGAGAAAGGGTAAACGAAAAAGAAGCGATAAAGAAAATAACTCATAATATTAATGGCGGCTTCTCCATGCTCGAAAGTTCTCTCAACAGGACCCGAAAGCGCAATTATACCTGTGGTACACTGCTAATAATGGTCCGATATTTTAGACATTTTCTTATACAAATGTTGGTAGGCGAATGTAACAAAAAGGGAAACAGCGGCACTCGAGATGAAAGTCGGATAAATGTATACTACATCTCGAAGAATGCTGTTTTTACGTGAGAATTCGCAGAAAAGTATTGAGAATCTCGAGAAGACAAAGAAGTGGTACATAAATGTTAATAAATTTACTATAAAGCATTTTTCTTCAAATACGTACAATTATGTACGTGTGCGTGATCGACAAATTAGTTAACAAGAGACTTTGAAATTTAGGATACACACAGTCTGAAATTCGAGAATTTATATACCAAAATAGAAGAATTATGTACGCAATTGTAAAATATTGTACTTTTGAAAGACCACAGTTTGAATGGTCATTTTTAACAGTGCAGTGTATAGTTAGCCGGTCAAATGAAGGCCCTAACTTGGGTAATTCGAAAATTCGGGAATTTATATACCAAAATAGGAGAATTATATACGTAATTGTAAAATATTGTACTCTCGAAAGAGCACAATTTGAATGGCCATTTTTAACAGCGCAGTGTATAGTTAGCCGGCCAAATGAAGGCCCTAACTTAGGTAATTCGGAAATTCGGGAATTTATGTACCAAAATAGGAGAATTATATACGTAATTGTAAAATATTGTACTTTCGAAAGAGCACAATTTGAATGGACATTTTTAACAGTGCAGTGTATAGTTAGGCGGCCAAATGAAGGCCCTAACGTTGGTAATTCTGAAATTCGGGAATTTATATACCAAAATAGGAGAATTATGTACGTAATTGTAAAATATTGTACTTTCGAAAGAGCACAATTTGAATGGACATTTTTAACAGTGCAGTGTATAGTTAGCATAATCGTAAAACATTGTACTTTCGAAAAACCACAGTTTGCATGGCCATTTTTAAGAATGAGGTTGTATAGTTAGCCGGCCAAATGAAGGCCCTAACTTAGGTAATTCGTTGGCAGATCTTCAAGCTTGATGATCTGCAAGTTTCTGTGCTAGCATCAGTTTTTTACTCACTAGATCTCGACGAGGTCGCAGTTGTGCAGCTCGTTGTCGAAGCCGAGCTCCACTACGGCCACTGTCTGATCATGGTAATAAACGGCAGGAACATCCCCAGAAAATTGATTTCTGGGGACCGTCAATCCCTCAAGACCCTTGAAGGAATTGGTGAAGAACATGGGCTGCTCCAAGCTGGAGGAACACAGACAGAGAACCACGACCAACGTCCTGGAGATCATCTTCTCGGCTACCTGGTGAAACTGTCCACGAGGTCGGAAGAACGTCCCTTGATCGATGACTAATCGAGATATCGGAGCACCTAGGAAGGATCCATGAAAATCTCCAAGGATTCCCGATGGTTCTCCACCGTGGTTCTTCGAACTCTGTTGCTTCCCAGGCACCGCTTCTGGACAAGGACTGGACCCCACTGTCAAGAGCGCGTTGTCATCCTGACTTCGAAAACCTGTTGGCGATCAAGGAATCTCACATCGTCTCCTAAGCCTACTGACATAAAAAGGAGAGCATCTAGTCCCAAAGAAGACATACTCCATTTCTTCGTTCCCTGGGACCTAGGTAACTCAGTCCACGGCAGTGAAGAGCAAAAACCCTGTACATTTATCTACAGGTGATAAACAAATGCCCTATAAATAAATCTCTCTCACGCCACCATAAGTTAGGGCGTTAAAAAATAGGAGCGCATCAAAAGTCGAGACTCTTATTTCATTTTACAATTACTACTGAAACTCGCCTTTTAGTGTCAGGGTTGAGGGGATTTGTTTTTGCGTTCTGTTACGTATCTTTTCGATTTTCCTGTCTTGGCATCGAGGTGTCCGAATGAATCGGCACCGAATGCGTGAATACTGAGGAGAGACCGTTAAGGAATAATTCAGGAATAATTAGCGATAATTATCGTTAGCTTACGATGTGCGTGCCGATTTTTCTCAAATGATTTACCTCCTTGACTTAGAAGATATGGGCACCATTAAGATGTCGCGTTTGAAACTGGGACTTCTGGATGGAGATCGAAGAGGTGTGGTACGTGGACCACTTCGGGAGCGTCCTCGATACGTTTTGTGACTGATCTGCGATGCGTTTCCAGCGTTTCCGGCGTTTGCAGCGCTTGCTCCCAGTGGAGGACGGCTTTGACGCGCGGAATCCCAGTCGCCGGTTTCGTCGATCGAATTCAAATGAATAAATGACGGTAGGCGCACCTGCGTATCCCTACCACCGGGCAAGACCTCGGCTGGATAAGTCGTGCCTACTCCAAGAGGCCGCAATGCACGAGCGTGTACTGGCCGCACTGTACGGCAGCTAGGGCCCCACTTTTACGCGGCGAGGAAAGTGGGACGACCACCACGCGGAAATCCCGAAGTCGGCCAAACCTGAGAAGAAATAGACGGGACAAGAGACGATCCTTTCGCTTCTGAGGATGGCTCGTGATCGGCTATTAGACGGCCATTAACTCGGTTCTATGCACTTACTGGGCTGTGTCCTCACCTTGCGACCACCGTTTGGCTGCCTCGGTTTGATGGAAGGTCGTCAGATCAGAGAAGAAGTGGATCGTCCGAGAGAGGATCCTTTGGCTTCTAAAGATTGGTCGCGATTGATCATTAGAGTGACTAATGACTCAAGTTACATTTTTATGGCCTTTGGTTTCTAATGATTGGTCGTGATTGACCATTAGAGTGACTAATGACTCAAGTTACATTTTTATGGACTTAATGGAATGCGTCTCGTCACCTTACGACCAGCGTTTGGTTGTCTTAATATGATGGAAAGTCTTCGGATCAAAGAAGTGGATCGTCTGAGGGAGGATCCTTTGGCCTCTAAAGATTGGTCGTGATTGACTATTAAAGTGACTACTGACTCAAGTGACATCTGTATACACTTACTGGACTGCATCTCGTCACCTTACGACCAGCGTTTGGTTGCCTTAATATAATGGAAGGTCTTCACATCAGAGAAGAAATGGATGGTCCGAGAGACGATCCTTTTACTTCTGAAGATGGCTTGCTATCGGATATTAGAGCAGTCATTAAATCAATTCCATGCACTTATTGGACGGAATCTCATCATCTAGCGTCCAGCTTTTGGTCGCCACGGTACAATGGAAGGACTCCAAACCAAAGGAAAAATAGATATTCCAAGAGACGATCCTTTGACTTCTGAAGATGGCTTACTATCGGATATTAGAGCAGTCATTAAATCAATTCCATGCACTTATTGGACGGAATCTCGTCATCTAGCGTCCAGCTTTTGGTCGCCACGGTACAATGGAAGGACTCCAAACCATAGGAGAAATAGATATTCCAAGAGACGATCCTTTGACTTCTGAAGATGGCTTGCTATCGGATATTAGAGCAGTCATTAAATCAATTCCATGCACTTATTGGACGGAATCTCGTCATCTAGCGTCCAGCTTTTGGTCGCCACGGTACAATGGAAGGACTCCAAACCAAAGGAAAAATAGATATTCCAAGAGATGACTCCTTCTTTCCTAAAGATGGGTCGCGATCGGACATTACAGCGACAATTACAGTTCCATGCACTTACTGTTCTGCGGCTAGTCATCGCGCGATCAGCGTTTGCTCGCCTCGGAACAATGGAAGGACTACGAGAAAAGAAGTTGATTGCACAACAGTAATTGCACCGTTGGGAAGGTCACGGTCCTTGGAAGCAATTCCAAGTAGTCCGATCCCAGATTTCGAATCCAGGAGAGGAGTGGTTGCGTTTCCGCGCAAAGTACGCACGAGAGGCGCGTGTGGGAATGATCGCATGTGCCTATAAATTGTATTAAGATCAAGGAACATTGTGAAATAAGGATTCAAATGTCTCCGATCAAGAGACGCACGTTATATCACCTTGCGCAAAGCTGCTGGACGAGGCGAAAAAAAAGGTGTCTCCGAACGACCGGTCGCGTAATGTCAGGGAAAAGTAAAAAATAACCTCCGTAGTTTCTCCTCGGCTCCCGACAATTTCGCGGGGACTTTACCTGCCGGGAATACGTCACTAAAATACGGCACTGTAAAAAACCACGTCTTTTATGCGTACATTTATATACAGGTATCGGATGTTATCACAGGTACACGCGTTAAAAAAGAAAGACCGACTATATGGGATCTGCCTCGTGTGAAACCGTAAATGACTATGTCTCTTTTATACATACATATATATATATTTCGGTATCGGAAATCTTATCACAGATATACACGTTAAAAAAGTAGGAGCAACGATGGGGAGCTTGTCTCGTCAGAGACGGTTCTTCGATTCCTCCCGGGGTGCAACTCTTGGAGGGGATTCTTCACCAGCGAAACGCACGTCTTCACCCGAAGACTTTGGTCAGGAAGGGCGTCGCGCAATTTGCCTTTTCTAGTTTGTTCCTTGACGTTGGGTCTCGCATTTGGTCGGGGTACGATCGTCAGGGTTTCTTAGGGGAGGACATTTAGGAGTTGTTAGGCTTCAAGGGCTGCTGGCCCTGAGAGGCGCTGGATTTGCTGGCAGGACTCAGGGCGTATTGGCTTCCGACACGACTTGTGCTCAATGTTATGCTCACCGGGGTGGCATTCAGTAGTTGAAGTCTAACCGGGCACTGCCGATACCCTGAACAACGAGTTAACTATATTAGATTCTTCCAATTTGTTAATCTCAACCATTCAAGAAGACGGCTCAAATCCACATCTTCATACTACGTTGTTCAGCATGAAATTACGGATTTTTACCATTAAAACAATTAATCAAGTCTCATGACTTTATATTAGGATGTGCAATATGATATTACGGGTTTTCACCGTTAAAAAGAATTAATCACGTCTCATGACTTTATATTAGGATGTGCAATATGAATTTACGAATTTTCCCTGTTAAATGAAATTAATCAAGTCTCATGACTTTATATTAGGATGTGCAATATGAAATTACAAATTTTTCCTGTTAAAAAACTTTGTAAAAGTCTACGACTTTATGTTAGGTTGTTTCATATGAAGTTATAGATCGCGATCACTCTGTCCAGTAAAACCAGATTGGTCATGTTGAATTTTGACGTCAGAAACGAGGAAATCGCGTGAAATTTCCAGCCGGCGTTCTGCGAAGGAAATGACATTTCTCTACAAAAACCACGACTCGAAGAAACTAGGTATTCCCGAAATGTGTCAGTCTGATAGTTTATCATTGATCATGCACCACGAAATGAGATAACGCTCTCCAAAAAATCGAATCGTTGACCAGCTTGCGATTACGATACGCAATGCAACTTAAATACATTTGACGCATCTACTGATCACTACGACAACTACGTTTCGACAAAAACGTAAAAAATGTAGCCGAACACCGGGTGGGAATTTCGCAGGGTTTCCTCGTTTCTGACGCCAGAATTCAATATGGCCGACCAGGCTTTACACAACCCCTGAAAAAAAAAGGTTCAAATTCAAACCTCACCCTGATCAACCTAATAATATCAGACTAGAAGGTTTAACCCGAAAATGTGCTGCACGTCATTAATATCTAAAGGAAGGTGGATCCGTGGGCCGACTGACTTTATAAAGATAAAATGAAGAGACCTATTATACCGAATGCAAACTCAAAGTCAGCGCAATCGAAAACCCTCGTCTTCGTATCCTTGCGCCGATTTGATAAAAATTGAAAATTGAGACCGTGAGCGTTGATGAAATTTAGAAATCGGTAAGGGGATTCGATCCAAAAGTTGCAGCTGATGATGACGATGGTGATGATGAATGTACGCTTACGAGGAAAGAACCCTCGTTTTCGAATCCTTGCGCTAATTTGACAAAATTTGAAAAAATGCAGATTCCCCACGTTGATGAAATTTGGAAATCGGTAGGGGGATGTGATCTAAAAGTTAACAGTTGCAGCTGATGATGACAATGGTGATGATGAATGTACGCTTACTAGGGAAGAGCTCAAAGGCTCGAAGAGAGAACAAAAGGTTACCGGCGTGATGGGGACCAGCGCAATGGCAGCACACGGGGCTGTTTCTAGGTCTAGGGCAAAACTCCACACTATGGGGTTCTCCACACCGAACGCAGCGCGGAAGATGGCGACAATTGGCGGCCACGTGCCAGAACCCTTGACACCGGTAACACTGCAGCACACCATCCCCCTGCTGCGAGTTGGCAGGCTCAGGAAAGTTGCAACCACCTGCAGCACCTCCCCCTGACGCTTGTATGGGGCCTCCTGTGCTGCTGCCTCTCCACCAGCGCTCCGGAATTGCGCTGAAACGCGCTGCGCCGAAAAAGTCCAAACCCTGACGCAGAAGCAGCTCGTAATGACCTGCGTCCAGCACCTGGGAACAAATTCTTATCAGTGAAAAAACCAAGTCTTACGTGGATAGTATCTCAGGTGTATTTTACCGATTGCATCGCTTCTAATATGTTGTAGTGCGTCGGAAAAGAAAAAATAGAAAGAGCCGGGTACTTTATACTTATATTATTATTTTTTATATTATTTTATTATAAGTGCTACACGTGTCGCGGAGTCCCAGAACATCGGTTAAGGTTTAACAAGCAATGGAAATCACTGGGTTTCCTGCTAACCTCTACACGAACGTATTGCCGTGAACGCTCCACGCTCTCGGTGGCGATGCCCTGCTTCGCCAGGGCGGAGCTCAAGTCTTGGAGCGGAATCACCCAGGGGACGTCGCGAAGCAGGACGGCTTGTCTGTATCTGGAATCCCTGGCCGAGAAACGCGCAACCTGAAAAAGAAAGCGCGATTAGTACTTACAAAACTGGCATAAGGGTGTATTTCAAGTTCAGACGAGGCTTAAAAAAGCTTCATAAAGAGTATTTCCTTATCACATGACTGTAGAAGTCCTTAACACATTCGCGACCGCTGACGTGAATTAACGTCATTTTGAATTTTATTCCTGATTGCCGCTGACGTGAATCACGTCCTGCTTATTGTTAGTTGGCTCATTCATCGTTAGCCGAGGCGGCGCACAAACTTTATCATTTTTATCCTTGCTTTAACGATACAAGTTTGCGGCAACCAGTTTCAGAATTTCATTATTTTCGCCGGTACTCTGTATTTGAAACGGACAAAATTTGCCGGTCGCGAATGTGTTAAGAAGGTCTTGAAACTTAGGAAATTCCATTTCTCGAGTAATTCCCTTTGCTCTCATGTCCGGGATAAGTGAAATATTTTCATTTCAGATAACGACATTTCGGGAGTTTTAAGGCCTTCATTAAGACCTTCATAATCACCCGTCAGAGTTTCAAATTATTCGGTTGCACCGAGTTTGGAGAAAAGTTGTATTAATATTTTGACTTTCTGATGTATCCGTCGCTTTGATAACACCTTAAACTTCGGTATTATACTCCAAGTCTTTATGTGAGATCATTAAAATTTGCATTTAAAATCTTGCATTTCCATGTCAACATTTTATGGGGTTGTCAGGGTACCTGGACGGGACCTTCGAAGACTCGGGCCAGGTCGCCGCGTTGGAGGAGCTTCTCGGCGTCAGATTCCCTCGCAAAAGCTGCGATCAGACCGCAGGATGTCTCGGAAACGTGCCATGCTGCCGAGGGGTCTGCAGCCCTTATGGCCTCCTCCAGGGTGGAGCGAGATAGCTCGTTGGACTGGCCTTGAACCTGGCCCTGGCCTTGGCCTTGACCCTGACCTGCCGCACGCGATACGTACAGCGAACAGGTCAGCTCGGGGTCCTGGCTGATGCGGATGTCGCCTGCTGCTTCGCGGGGGGTTTCCGGCGATACGGTCATCGTTATGCTGGAGCATTGTTCCTGTTGCTGTTGCTGGTGCAACGTTTGCTGCCGGTCCTCCCGCGCTCCGTCCATCCTGCACGTGGCCTCCACCTCTCGGGCCCCTGAAAAGCAACACGATTTTTTTTTAAATTCCCACCTTATAANTGAATTATTATAAATTTATGATAAACTTCAAAATAAGGTTATAATTTTGTATCATATTAAAAGTTCATGAAATTTTGTAGAAAGGCGAGCACACTTATGTATTAAATTTTTAACATGTTTCAAATGTTGTTCGAAAATGTTTTAAAATTCGTACACCATGTCTGAATAATACTTTCAACAAAAATGGTATAAAATTCCAATATTTCCTTTTAACAGTGCAGATTAAAAGTAAATTATTTCACAATCGTCCACAAATTCTCACATATGTGATCGAAACTTGGTATAGAAATGATATAAAAATTTATTATACATATCTTCAGAAATTCCTATATTTATATTCTAAAATCCCGAACGAGATTATGTACGAAATTTCGATGTATTGTATTTTGAAGAAACTTCTACCCCACCCATACTACACTTCGAACATTTTTAACCGTGCATTAGACTCTTTGCGTAAAACTGCGTGACCGGGAATAATTTGCGAAAGCATAAGAGGGAAAGTTGCCGGAAGAGAGAGAGAGAGAGAGATAGCGTCTCGATTTGACGTAAGACTTCCGCAAGACAGGACGGTGGCTTTAAAGGCACGTAACGCGGTTAAAGAGATTGCGAGTGTTCAGTGACTTATCGTGTTAATTTTGCATATTGACGAAGATTTTGATGGGCGTAGAGATTTACCTTAGACGCTTCTTCGCTCCTTTTTATCCTTGAAAAATATAACGCGGGGCCGGCGAAGGCATGGTCCAATGCTGGCGCCATTCATTGCCCTCTTCTTTCACGATCGCAACAATATCTCGACTTACTTCTTTTCGTTAAGGCGCGTTTAGAAGGGACCATTGCATGTTTTGGAACAAACTTTGGAGCTGGAAGACACTTTCCCTCTTACCGAGGTCGCACACCAAATACTCATTTAATGATAAAAAATATTCTATAATTTTCTAACAATTTAATTCAGACGCGATATGATTTTAAAACAATTTTTTAGTAAAATGAACAACGTATTGCTCTCTTCATTCATGATCTCAACATCTCGACTTACTTCTTTTCGTTAAGGCACGTTCAACCCATTTGCATCATAAGGAAGTATGAAAAAAGGGTCCTTATCACCGAAATTTCAGGCTGAATGATAGTGAACAGCAAAATTGAGCGCATATATACGCTCCGGTGATAGTGACCAGGAAAACGGAACGTATATATACGCTAATGATGCAAATGGGTTAAAAGGGACCACTGCATGATTTAGAACAAATTTTGGAGCTGGAAGACACTTTCCCCCTTACTGAGGCCGCACACCATATACTCATTTACTATTAAAAAGGATTCTATAATTTTCTAACAGTTTAATTCAGACGGAGTATGATTTTAATACATATTTTTAAGTAAAATGTACAACGTATTACAAACATAGGTGTATTCAGTTTCGCAGGCATCTTCATACAATTCTAACATGACGGTATCAGATTGTATATTTACTTAGAATTTTATATATGTGTAGCAATTTATATTTAACATATCGAGGTTACAATTTTACTACCTTATGTACAGACTGAGAGTGTATGAAATTTGTCAATATTTTTAACAGTGTGCAGTAGATACGCATTTATTTATATCTGCGCATGTAGAGCAAGCATTTGTTGCATTAAGTATTTTATGTAGCGAAATTGTACACTATGATATATTTCCTGCATGTTGCTTTATCAGCCTGGTGTACGTATTATCTTAATAGAAATCGCTCTGGGAAAAGAAATATCGCTAGAGAGTCATAAGTAAGTTTCCTGCAAATCTACGTTCATAATTTCTTCAAGCGATTATAATTCCAGTTTGATATTAAAGTTTCTAAAATATACTTCAGAGGAAATAAGAGATAAGGTTTTTATTAAATACAGTATAAAGTATTAATTACAAAGCCGTCTCAACTCGTTGAGCTCGTCGTTCGGCTCCCTTCTGAGCAATATGTCTTCGTCAACGTTTCTTCGCATTTTATCCGCCAATAATAATCGATGAACGTACTCGGTGTTTTCCTTCTCATCTTCGGGATAAGATTCTCTGAACGCTCTCTTGATGTAGTTCTTACTAGCGATAGGCAAATAAACCGGAAACTCGATGTTAAAATTAATTTTTAGATCTCCTCTGAATTTCGGATCCTCCACGATAGGTAGACCTTCGCCGGGGATGAGCTTCTGATAGTCTGCTCTATAATTTTGCAGGAATAATTTTACACGAATATAATTTTGCACGAATAATTTTACAGATATAATTTTGCAGGAATAATTCTGCAGGAATAATTTTGCAGATGTAATTTAACAGGAATAATTTTGCAGGAAATCAGAAATACGTTCGGTGAAATCTGCACGATCTCGAATAATATGAATTTCTTAGAATGTCGGGTAAAAATGTTGTACGTACGTCACGACACTCGTGATAGGGATTCGAAGGATTCTTTCATCAATCGTGTTGACGGTGACGACAGTTCCCGTGAGGGCTTCTCTCAGGAACAAGTCCACCGTCATTAGCAAATTAGATCCATCTCTCTTAAACGTCTCGTGAGGACGATCTTCCGTGACGAAAATAACGTCAGCTGAAAACCTCGTTCTCATTCAAACTGAATTAGATCGCTAATTTCGGTACCAATTGAATAGCAATTAATTAATACCAGGGATCTTCGTGGGTCCTTGATCACCTTCTTCGGGGAACACGATTTCAGTGCCTGTAGGAAAGCCCGGTTTCACAAAAATGGTCAAGATCTTCTCTTTGGGTACTGTCGTGGACTTGTCATCGCCCACTAGTACCAATTTCTGGATCTTCATTTTTTTCACTCCGCCGAAAAAGACCTGGAATAAATAAAATTCAATGGCTGGTGCCTTACACTTTTAAAAATATTCACAAATTCATACGCATTTAGTGCATAAAGCAGTGAAATAAGAAATCTGACGTCCCAGGAGTGTATCAGTCTCCTTATCATGAATTCCTAAAGAAATATATAATTTTCTAACATTAAGGTATAACTTTGCGACATTGTTCAGGAAAATTCACTTATGTACCAAATTTCTAACATACGTTTATAAAATGTATGAACAACAATCTCACAAAATTAGCATGTGAATGAAACTCGCAGAAAAACGTCATGAAATTATGTTTTATCTTAGTAGTACAGCAGATTCTCGGTACCTCTTCAAGGGTCAACTGCAATGACTTTATTAAAGGCTCCTCCTTGCGTTTCAAGCCTCGTCCTTCCGGAAACTCCTGCAAAGGAAGTGGACGCGTCAGGACATCCAAGAGATTCGCATAAGGACTGCAAGTTCCGAAGAACTCCCTAAAAAGAAAGTCCCATCTCGAATCTAACAAGGAAACATTCCCAATTGTTCGCCGCCTATCTTATTGATTTTTATATATATTGAAGAATACAAAAATCTAAAAGACACGTGTTTTTTTTTATCTGCAATGGTCCACATTTAAGGGGTGAAACAACCCCCCAAAGTTTGGCGAAAATTCGATTTTTATATTAATTTTCATAGAAGCAATGGAGGGATTTCGATGAAACTTGGCATAAACGTATTTTGTATAAGGACGATGAAAACACACAGTCTTATTGATTTTCATATATATTGAAGAATACAAAAATCTAAGAGACACGTGTTTTTTTTTATCTGCAATGGTCCATATTTAAGGGGTGAAACAACCCCCCAAAGTTTGGCGAAAATTCGATTTTTATATTAATTTTCATAAAAGCAATGGAGGGATGTCGATGAAACTTGGCATAAACGTATTCTATATAAGGACGATGAAAACACACCATTTTATTGATTTTCATATATATTGAAGAATACAAAAATCTAAGAGACACGTGTTTTTTTTTATCTGCAATGGTCCACATTTAAGGGGTGAAACAACCTCCCAAAGTTTGGCGAAAATTCGATTTTTATATTAATTTTCATATATTATTATAGCGTATTCTGTATAAGGACGGTGAAAACACAATATTGCCCATTAATGCTACACCACCTTAAGGGGGTGAACTACCCTTCAGACGAAATTATTTTGTAATATCTATTAAACAAGGACTCCTACTTAAGTTCCACTAACGCCATGTGATTGCTCACAAAAAATCAGTGAATACGTGTTTTTTGCTTTTCGCCAATAAACATTTATACATCGGTTGAAAACAATGGATGTAGATGGTATATGGGTACATCCTGACTATCTTCATTGGGTTATACCGTGACCAATTTATTGTACATAAATCGTGTGAACGTGCTAATTCTTCAAAATATCGTTGGGTTTTGTATCATGCAATTATTTATAAATAAATTTAAAGAAACAGTTTAAGAGACTGACACGTGTCTCTTAGATTTTTGTGTTCTTCAACATATATGAAAATCAATAAGATCGACGGCGGACAGTTGGGAATGTTTCCTTGTAAGTCGCTAATAATTATTAATTGTCGGATGTTATTAAACTCTGAAGATGACAATGGCGTTCCGAGGTTGACAAGTACCTGTACGTCCGCAATGGTTCCCCATGATAAACATATGGCGGAATATAATTCTCAGGACCAGGAACACCACGTTTCAGACCCGCTTCTCCATATTGGTCATAAACAGCTCTTTTGAGGGGGTCTGAAAGGACATCATATGCCTCGGTTATCAGAGAAAAAACTGCCTGGATACTCTCATCCTTATTCCTCTCCGGATTGTAGGAAATGGCCAATCTTCGAAATCTGGAAGCCAAGAACAAGAGACATTTAATTTACTCTACGTTCCTTAACACCGTTAAAAAAGAAGTATTGAAATTTTGTAAAACTTTCTTAGGAAGTTCTATTCAGACATGACGTACTAATTTTATAACACTTCCCAACAACATTTATAACATATAAATTCAATACATAAGTGTGCTCATTCTCCTGGAAAATTTCAGACTTCTAATATGACGTTACAGAATTACAAATTTATCTTGCATTTTATCCGTTAATGTATGATTATGCATTTATGAGACATGAAATTTATAATTTCACCACAATTTTAGATACAATGGGTGTGTGCATTTTATGGATATTTTAACAATGTATTTCTATTTCGCCTTTATCAGACACTCACGCCTTCTTGATCTCCAGATCATGGCAGTCCTTCTTCAAAGACAAGACCCCATAATAATCGATGCCAAGATGCTCGCAATCACACTTATCGTCGCAAGCCATTGTTCCTTAGTCCTCGGAAATGAAGTCTCCGATGTCACGTACCCCTGGAAGATCTTAGAAAAAAATATATAATCATATGGCCGTCATCTTGACAGGGAAACTGAGTGACATTAGCCACCCTCGGTCCAGGAAATCGCGGCGATGTTGTTCATCTCATTTATTTAGTAGAAACAGGCCTGTAGAGAAACATTTGACACTTGACAACCGGATGGATGACAGGGTGGAGTGGCCTTCACATTTTTTCAACAACGACAACGACAGCACCCTTCAACAACGCGAGACAACGCCTACAGTTGCGCGTCAGTCTCTTTGCTCCTGATAATGGAAATGTCGGTATATTACAATTGTTAAGAGAGTCACCGCTTGACAGTTAACAATAAAAAGCATCCCCGAGGAGAAGATTAGGCTTCCACCATGGAAACCCACGAGGATGTCGCAAAAGGTCAGTCTTTTCAAAATCGAGCACCTCGAGTCCTCCAGGTCAACCTGAGAAAATCGATGCGGCTTCCTGCACTGTTAAAAAGAAAAAAAAAATGTTATAATTTTATAATATTTTTCCTCGAAGTTTTATTCATACATGGTGTACTAAATTCATAATATATTCCCAGTAAATTTACAACCTTATGTACTAAAAGCTTGTGAATATTATAAATATTTCTAACAGTGTGGATAAGATTCCTCTCCTATACTGATATAAACGTCCATGTAAATTTACATAATTATTGGTTCCCTAGTAGCACAAAATATTTGTCCTATATTTTCTATATATTTAATGAATATCGTACGTTTTGTAAATATTTAGCGGACATTTGAAATATTTACAAAACGTTTACTTTAGAATANATATTTATATAATATTAACTCCATGTGTTTTCATAATATTTTTTTACCAGATATACAAAACATTTCGATTCATTTTAATACAAGTATTTTTTAAATCTTATCTTCCGAATACATTATAAACGTTTTAAAAATATTTAAAATCAAAATCACACGTTTTGCTCCCGTAATGAAATAGCGGAACGAAAATATTACAATAATTTCTCGTGTTTTTTCATACCAAATGAAGCGTCCGATAATAGTCGTGAAGTAAAAGAAATGTATTTCTATTACATGTTCATAAATTACAAAATATAATTTCTATATATGTTTAGCAATTATTGAAACTAAATATATCATTGAGATTTTCAAGAAATATTTCAAATATCTTCGAATGAAATCTACGAGAAATCTTAAAAAATCTGTCGCTTGAGATATTTAGCAAAGATTACAAAGAAATATTTAGAAACTATTCTATGCTACTAGGGTTATTTTGATGTCAACGAAACTATAATGTAAAATCTGATTCAAGTAAAAATACCCTAGTACGTTAGATACACAATGTTAGGTGTATTTATACATTTTCCAATTTATCCATTTTACGTTTTTCTATGTTAACCTTCGGTCACGAGGTATATCAAAGTGTATGTAAATTTCCAGCGATTTTTATCAGTGTAGACAACGCGGTCTACTTTGGCAGCGTGCCTCAATTCGGTAAAGTACTTGCTGAATGTTTTAGGAAGCACCGAAACTTTTTTCTCGGCAGAATCCCTTTTTGGGGAGCAATTTTCAGGCTGAAAAGTGTTCTTTTTTTTTTAGGACCAGGGGAGAGCAGAGTCTCTTCGGCCTCTCTTGCTCCTTCGACGGTGGACGTCGAGATCTCGGATGTTCCTAGATGTGAATCCTTGACAAAAACGGGGACTACGTCCATGACATCCAAATCGATGACGACCATGACCGGCGATCAGCTGATCGGCGTACTGAGACGAGTCGGCTCGACTTCCGGATGCACCGGAAGGAAGCCGATCTGCATCGAGCCGAAACTTTCTAAGAGACGAGATGTGTCTGATAGCGTCCTGCAATCCGGGACTCCTATCAGCGGTCCTGGCAAGGGTCCGAATAGCTCCCTAGGGAAACAGAAAATCCCTAGACCCGCGAACGCCTTTATGCTATTCGCAAACGAGTGGAGGAAGAAACTCGCCGTAGAGAACCCCAGAGAGTCGAACAAGGACATCAGCGTCAGGCTAGTTCCCCATAATTTGTCAACTAACTAATGACACAGAAATATACGCAAAACTCGCATAAATGAAAGGGGCACGATCCATAAAGTGAAACACTATTCTTTGTTCAATATCCATCATTACACCATTTTCCGTTCAATATTCCCTGTCAATATTCATCTTTAAATTTTATTATTGCCACAATTTACGTACATTTTATATTTACAACTCATGCTTACATTTATATCTGTGAGGTAGTAATCAGAGAATTTAAATCAACTTTTTCGGTGTTAATGTAAATATTAATTTTTATTCTCGTGGTTAGTTACTGTTTAAAGTAAAATGAAGGTATGCCTTAAATGAGGAGGATTTAACGCGCAATGGCGTTTTGTGAAAGCGGTAATTAAGTGTCATTAATATTGTTTAATCTGTTCTCCTTCAATGTCATGGTGGATATACACGGGTTTTTTAATGTTATCGAGTGTTCCCTTTTTCACCGCTTCTCTTGGGCATAAAGAAAGAGGTTTTACTGATGGATAGTCATCCGATAGCGATTGATACCTTTTCCTTAATGATTCTAAGGGGGATGCTATGTCGAAGGCCAGCTCAGATGTTGAGGGCTAATCGTAAAAATGTCATCCTTTATGAACAGGTTGGGAGTACTCTGGAAAAGCATGGCAAAGGACATAAAGGAGAAGTACTTCGCCCTCGCAAGGGCCGTGGACGCCGAGCACAAGAGGAAGTACCCTGGTACGATGTCTGTCCATTTTTATTTATTTAATTTTCAGAATATTTCCGTAGCTTGTCTTATAAAACTCGTCTTCTCGCAAAGGACCTTGTTCGAATCGTAGGATGATTTAACGCGTCTCGTGAGAACCATTCGGACGGACAGGGAGCATGAGATAGGTCGCACTTGTCGACTCTTCGAGTGGACGAGATAGCGTGGGCGTAGATATGTAAATCTCACCTGAGCTCGATCACGTTGCACTTACCGCGTGCCAAGTGCGGGATCACAAGTGCACCTAGGAATCAGAATGCATCTGTGGTACGTGTCAGGTGGAACGCTCATCCAGCGAATAGGAATCCAATCGCGTAAATCGAGCACGCAGGAGGGTGAACTTCCGGGGCGGAAGGCCAATTTCGAGATACCGAAGGGCGCCCCCACCAACCCCCGTCCAGGAATTTTCCACGAATTTTCCGCAAATTTATCTCGACTTTTTATCTCCAGGAATTTTTCGCCAATTTTCCAGGAATTTTTCTTGAGGTCCCTCTCTAATCTGACCGAAAATCAATATGCGTCCCTCACGAATGGCAGCGAAGGGGCGCGAGAAGAGAAGGAGGAGAGCGCCTTAACAGTTTAAATCAATGGGTGCGAATTTCTTCGGCTTCTTTGCACATTTTCCCAGAATACCGACCAATCGCCAAAATGATCCCCAGCACCCCTAAAGAAAATTCCCAAGTTCCAAATCCCCCGAAACTAGGTGATCAAGGTACACAATCCCGGACCACGATTTCCGAAACCTCAGGATCGAATCCCAAAAAACAAGCAATTTTTATCCTCTTTCCCAAAAATCCATTGGAAAAAAAAGAAAAAGATAAATCTCATGAGATGAAAGAGGGGTCAGTCTCCGGATGATCGAAGCAAGAAGGCAATCTCGAAGAGCGTCGTTATCGGACAAAAGGGTCCGAATCGACTGCATCGCGGCGCCTCTAGCCTAAAAAACCGAGCTCAGGTGTGTGGAATCCACCCCAGGGTATCCCGTGGGAGTCCCCGAGGTCGCGGGGCGGAACAGGAGGTCGCGGAGTACCATTCGCGGAGAAGGAGGGACACCATTCTCGCCGAGGTTGGCGAGTGAGTGACGGGGGTTCGGCCAGACCGGAGGTATTGATTGCGACGCGACTCTACGTTCTGCACTCTACAGGGCGGCCGTGCAAATAGCCGCGGTGTGTGTGGGAGTGCGTGGGTGTGGGTGGGCGCACGCGCTCGGAGGGGTACACGAGTGCAGGTGCATCGTGCAGGTGCAAGCGCGGCGACACCGGGGTGGCGAGTGTGCGCCTTGCGGGTCCCTAGACTCGTGGTGGGTGGTGGTGGGTGGGAGTGGGTGGCGGTGGGTGGCAGTGGGCGGCGGGTGGACACTAGGTGGTAGCGCGCTAGGCGCTACTCGCTGATACGCGAGAGTTTCATCGAACAAGAAGCGCGACGGCGCGCCACGACCTAACTTCTCTTTCGTTCCCCTCTCTAGCCCTGTCTCCCGCTCTTTCTCTCTTTCCCAGGACCGCATCCCTCTCTCCCTCTCCCTCGCCCTCCTCTGTGTGCATAACGTCCTCTCCCTTCGGCCGCGGTGTCTCTTTCTCCGGGTCCCTCTCCGACACCCACACTCGGCAGGCTCCCTCTGCGTAGGAGCGTGCAAGTCTAGCGCCATATCCGCGGCAAGTGTCTCCTCGACTGGTCCGGGGCACCCAGGTGTCGGCAGGTGCACCCTGATACCCCCTGGTGGTTCGCGGACCTGCTGGGTCGGGATCTAGGATGGTGCCGATGGAGGGGTCTTGGGCTCTGTGTTTACGACGAGCACTCGAGGCCGTGTGGGTGGATCGAGGATCGGACAGTTCTTGGTCATCCGCTGGTGGGAGGTTGTGGGAAGATTAATCGAGGCGGCAACGAGGTGCTAAAGTGGAGGACCCTAGGGCGAGGGTGTTTTCTTGGGGGTTGGAACTGGAACCTGGGGATACCTGGCATGGCAGGGGAGAGTTAGATCGTTTCATTGGGCTGTGCGTCTTGAACTTCACTGGGGACATGTGGTGATTAGGTCCTCTTCCTGATAAACGGGGATGATCATGGTTGAGCGGGTGGAGGAGATCGGTACCTACGAAAGAGAGGGTTAAATCGATTGTCTTTATATTCTCAGGACGGTATGTTTACATCGGGAGATTGTGTGCACTTGCAATTGGCGATTTGACCAGCGGTTGAGTCTTGCCTTGCAGTGATGTTACCAAAGGACAGAGTTAAAGTGGAGCCGGACACCTGGAAACATGTCCGCGGTTGGACTTCTTGGGTGGAAGCACCTGCTCTTGGGACAAACCTGGGAGGACAGTACTGGACCTAGGAGAGTACAGGAACTACAAACGGTTGGTCCCTTTCGGAAGTGGACCAAGAAGAGCGGAAACGCAGGGTTCGGCTTTGGTATCCCAGCAGAGGGCTCGGGAGACGAGTAGTCGGCCTCTCCGAGTTGGTCGGACGAGACTCTGGACCAGGAAGCCGATTCAGAAGTAGTTGAAATGGTTGGCTAGATTCGAGCCAACCTGGGGCGCCGAACGACGAAAGAGTTGACCCTAGATCTGGGGTCACTTGGTAATCTAGGAGCATCGACCGGAAAAGGACCATGGCGACGCTATCAGGGTCCCATCATACGGGGACGCTCATCAGCCACCCTGGAGCCTACAGACGACCTCCAGGACGCCACTGGAACTGCACCTTGTGCATTCGCGACATCCTCCAAACCGAAGCCGATCTTCCCAGGTTCTAAATTCCCCACTGCCCCTGCTGTCTGCAGATGTTCTCCAGGCGAGCACGATAGATGCTCCAGGTGCTCGTCTTCGAGGCCCTTACCGTTCTCGCCACTTCCGGGGCCTACATCATGGTACTCTTCCCAAAGCCATCTTCCTCTTCTTCTACCTGCAAAAGCGACTCTAGGTCTTCCCCCAAAATCCGACGTTGTGGTCGCCACCTCGCAGGCCCCGGCACCAACCCTGGTCTTCCTTCCCCGAAGTTAAATCGGCGTCTTGGAGCTGCCAGACTGGCCAACTTGAAATCTTCCATTTAAGCGATCGTCTACCCCTTCTGGACGTTTATCCTTGTCCTTGGAGTCGTCAGGTGTCTCTCGACCTCCACGTCCCGGTTTAGAGGAATCCTTCCGCCTAATTCGTCAGCTCTTGGACACGCGGTTGCCGCACATCGTAGCAGGATGGATTGTTGCAACTACGTGCAGCCTTACACCGGGGCCGGACATTTCTACCAGCAACATCATTTCTGTTATGATAACATGAACGCTCATGCCGCCTACGCCGCGGCTCCTGTTTCCAACGCGGTCGAAGTCAACGCGCGGTACAACAGACTGCCACCTGCGTATCCGACAGGTAGATTGGCAAATGAGATGTCCTGATCGATCGTCGCTTCGTGTCCTTGCATGAGCTTCCAATCCTTATGAATGGAGACCTGGTGCTGTAGATTGAGTGATCCTCCATGAGCTCCACTACTCAGCTGATCCAGATCAATCAGTTGATGTCCTTGCATGTGCTTTGAAATCTCAAATGTAAACCTGGCCCCATAGATTTTGGACAGTACTCTACAAGGTGCAGTCTTGCTACTCAGCTGGTCCCGGTCAATTGACACTTGATATCCTTACTTGTGCATTCGAATTTTATAAATGTAAACCTGGATCTGTAGATCTCGAGCGCCGTGAGATGCAGCCTTGCTCAATGAGATCAGCTGATTCCGATCAATGGTCGCACGATATCCCTGCATCAGCTCCTGAATATTTTGAATCTTCCAAATGCATTCCTGCTTCTGTATAGTTCAAGCATGGCTCCACGCGAAGCGGCCCTGTCACCCAGATAATTCCGATCAGTTGTCACCTGATATCCCTGTATCTGCTTTCCAATTTTTCAAATGTAAACCTGGTCCCGTAGATTCTGAGCAATGCTCAACGAGGTACAGTTTTGATACTCAGCTGGGTCCTATCAATCGTCATCTGATATCCCTGCATCCTAATGTATCTTTTATTTCTTCTAAATGTAAACCTGACCCCATAGATTTCAAGCAATGCTTCATAAAGAGAAGTCTTGACTCTCAGCTGATCCAGATCAATTGTCATCTGATATTTCAACATATACATATTTACACATCTTTTATACCTTCTAATTGTAAACCTAGCTCCATATATTTCGAGCAATATTCCACAAAGAATAGCCTTGACTCCCAGCTGATCCCAATCAATCGTCACTTGAGATCTTTACATTCTTATATATTTTTTTTACATCTTCCAAATGTAAGCCTGGCCCCATAGATTTCGAGCAATGTTCCACAAAGAACAGCGTTGACTCCCAGCTGAACCCAATCAATCGTCACGAGATCTTTACATCCTTATATATTTTTTTAAATCTTCCAAATGTAAACTTGGCCCCATGGATTTCGAGCAATATTCCACAAAGAACAGCCTTGACTCCCAGCTGATCCCGATCAATCGTCACTTGAGATCTTTACATCCTTATATATTTTTTTACATCTTCCAAATGTAAGCCTGGCCCCATAGATTTCGAGCAATGTTCCACAAAGAACAGCGTTGACTCCCAGCTGATCCTAATCAATCGTCACTTGAGATCTTTACATCCTTATATATTTTTTTAAATCTTCCAAATGTAAACCTGGCCCCATAGATTTCGAGCAATGTTCCACAAAGAACAGCCTTGACTCCCAGCTGATCCCGATCAATCGTCACATGACATCTTTGCATCCTTATATGTATTTTTTACATCTTCCAAATGTAAACCTGGTCCCATAGATTTCAAATAATGCTCCACTCGGAGCATTGTCACCCGGCTGGTCCCTGCTCTACTTTTTCCATGTCGCAATCCAATTTCCTGCTCGAACGAAGACTATCCACGATGGGATAAGCATTCGACAGGTAGATTACGTCTATGCACAGTGGTCTAGAACAACGGGATTGCCTCCGACAGTGCGCGTTCCCGATTGAGTTTTCCTGGTGAATCCGCAGTCTGTTGCTCGTTTGCAGATTACGTGTACAACCCCAAAGAGGCCAGGCTGAGGAAAGCTATGAGAGAGCAGAGCAGAGAACTGTCCAGGCAATCCATCTTGCAGACTGCGATCGCAACCGCTGCCGGAAATGCGACTTCTCCTGGTGTAAACGGCATCGACATGTCCGGGTCCAACAATTTTGGAAACCATCCAGCAGCCTGTGCATCCCCAGCAGCATCCTCCTTACCTGGGAGTCCTTCGGTCAACCCCAGCAGGATCATCAACCCCTGGTTCTCCGTTGGTCCTCCTGCATCCGCGGGTCACCTGAAACCTGCTCTGTCGCCTCGAGTGAGCTACTTTTTACAAATTTAATCACACTTAACGCTGTTAGGTACTTCCTCTTATCATTAGACATTCCCTCGGGACTCATGATATGCCTGACGATAAGTGTTGGCTGGAATTGTCGCCCACTTCGGAAATAAATGGCCTTGTTGCCGGAAGGAGGTATTCGGTATCGACGTCTAAGGGATGGATTTTCGAGGGCCAGGATTCGAGTGTTACCGGAAATCCGCCTGTGGTTAATATTAGATTATTGATCTCAGGTCATGGCGGCTCACCAGCGGACGTTGGACAAATCCAAGGAAGCTCTGAGGAAACAAGTCGAGTGTGCTGCTGCTGCTAGGTCTTATCCTGGAAACTCGATGCCTTCTTACTCGGACTTTCCTGGACATGGGGGGTCCAGTGGGGTAGGTCCTGGTCCGGGCCAAGGGAACAACGAGTACTGCATAATTGCCGAATTTTCCGAGGGCCAGAAGTGGCATCCTTATCAAGTAAGTACTCTGGTAATAGATGAGGGGACATGAAAGTGGTATCATAAATCAATCCTTCATGGTACTTTCCTCCGAACTATACCGAATTGCTTGAAATTTTACCGCATAAATGTGGTAGGCCTTAGGAGGGTCCTGACACTCCTGTCATTTTATTCATTTTTAATTTATTTATTAATATTTCAACAGAGAAATTTTATCGCCGTCGGGACTTTCCTCAGTGCCTCCAGATTTATACGGGAAAATTTCAAAGGAGTCGGTACATCTTGTTCGCTGACAAGTTTGGTGAATTATTGACTTCTTCGAGCCTACTTTCATGTCGCCTTAAGGTGAAGTGAAACCCTCTTCAAATCAGTCGATTCGAATACAACACTTTTTTTTAAGGGTATTAGACCAAACTGTCCGAAACTTTGACACATTACTCCCGGTCATCTAACAATTGACCTGACACATTCAAAATTTGAATTTTTGGAAAAAATTTTGTAACAGCCCAGACCAGAACCAAAATGGCGTCGAGCTCTCATATTTCGATCAATATACAATTATTGAAGGCTCTGATATGAGAATCGAAAGGGTCAGGACAATTTTACGGCAATTTAGAACACTCTGGTAATCGATAAACTCGCATTTGAACGGGATAAAGGCAAAAAAAGTGTTGTATGCGCTTCTATGCCAAAACGATGATAATACGAGGTCTCGGAGTGAAAATTTAGTTGACCTGGAAATCACAGATGGCGCAGGGGGTCCCTCTGCAGTCAATTAAGGCCCCAGTAAGCATGAATCCAGAGGGTTTCTGGTGTTTTACTTCCATTTCTTTATAATTATTATACGAAAACGGCAGGTGGAGTATGCCATTTGGTACAATACCCAATATAATTCGATACAGCTGTCAATATATAAACGAACGTCGGCAACGTAGGCATTTAGAAAAATCTTCTTTAGCGACGTCGATCAAGTTCCTCAACGTGTTTCACTTCACCTTAAATGCCAGTTTGGAGAACTTAATATAGTAAAATCCTCCTTGAACGAATTGTACAGAACGGTGCCGGGGCGTATCACCAACGAGGGTCACCAATGGCCAAGATTGGTGGTCTCCATCCAAACATGCAAGGCACCAATCCTCATGGACCCTGGGGTCCATTTTGCGGAGTACCTTTGTGTAAGTTCTACGTTCCTCTCGGTATTATGGGGTTACACCACGAAGGCAGCTTGAAAACATAGAATTTATAAGTTCAATCAATAGTCTTCAGTTTGGAAATTAACATCCCATTGGTCGGAATAGACAAATCAACTCGTTCAATTCGACAATGAGCTCGGATTGAAGATACATTTGTTTTTTCTTTTTTATGCCAACGATCTACAATTTTTATCCGATTAATTTCAAACTTTCCCATGATTATTCCATTTACATAATTCGGACCGATACTTGCTCGGTGCAATTTAAAACCGTGTCCGCTAGAGATATCATTTCCCAAAATGTCGAGGGTCCATCATATCCAATAAAGAGCAAAAAGTAAAGGGCAAAAAGTAAAGAGAAAAATATTGACACGTTTAATTATTCTCATGGATAAAAGTTTCACCTAATTTTCGTGAAAGCTGGTATTTTAATTCCCATAAGACTCGCCAAGGTTTTCAGACACTATCACGGTGTAAGCCCATAGAGGGCATCGACGAGCGGTGATAAGAGAACTCGAAAACTTCCAGCAAACTCATCTGGTCAGGGGACGCTGATAAGAGGTCCTCGGCACATGGTGTTCCTGCAGGAGCACCAGAACCAGCACTGCAACTTCAACGAGGAGCTGCAGCTGCCCTACGGTCCCAGCAAGGTGGAGATCAGCCACCGTCTGCACGCGGCCTACCCCCAAGAGGAGCACCAGCTCCCGGCCGATTGCCAAACCCGGGAGGTCTGCAAGTCGGATTCAGGTCGACCTGAATCCAGGATGAGGAGCGAGCAGAGACCCCTGCAGGAAGGCTGGTACCTCCCCCAGCAAGCAAAGGGTCCCAGCGTGCCAACTCTGCCGCAAATCCCCCACCTGCAGCAGGAGAGCAACAAGTGCCCCGAGGAAGGTCCCAGGTGGGAACCCCCTGACGGACCTTCGGTGACGGGCGCCGATCCCGGGGTTCCCGGACTGATATCCGGTCCCAAACGGGAACTGGAACTCCCCCAGGATCAGGATCAGGGCCGCGAATTGTGCCAAGAGTCCCAATACGTAGAGAGGGTCGAACTGAAGCAGAAGATGAGCTGCAAGCAGCCCTTGCCTGGGTTCCATCAGGCCTTCGGCTCCACCGAGATCGGCAGGTTCTCCAGGTCGGAGTTCTTCGCCAACATGGTCGGCGACAGCGGCAACGTAAGTATCAGCCGAAGCTGCAATGGCCAATCCAATGGGGATCCCAATGGTGGCGGGAACTATAGTCTGACCTACTATAACGAAGTTAGGAGTCCTGGTGCTCCGACTCCGCGTTGGCACAGCCCCTACGTCAGCGCGGTAGGTAGCGAAATTTAATTTCAAGTGATAGAGATTATCTCAATTGTTAGGAGAATGTTCTATACATAAAACAAAAAGGTATATATATATATAAATTATAGGTGACAATTAGTAGGTATATATAGGTGTCTCTGGTGAATGCGCTGAAGACGCGCCGGGGATGCACACCCTGGAGAGGAGCTAAGTAGGGAGAAGTATATATTCGATCAATTTCAATTGGTTATCAAAATTGTGCCTTTCGATGGACTGGATATATTAAGTATTATTATATTAATTAAGGTGATGCGGATCTATATAATTATTACACGTACACTGTGACACTGGAACACGGTGGTATATGTATATCGGCGTCGCGGGGGGTGTGCCGGAAACCGGGGTCCAAAATCGGTACGATTTTGACTGCTACGGCGATTATGAGCATTTCGGAACGTCATATCAGTGAAGTGGATTGTTTATGTGGTTGTGTATATTTCCCGTACGTTGTTAGCAGGTTTGTAGACGTTTCTGTGATCCTAGGCGTAGCGTTTTCGACTCGGTTTGAGGGATTCCCCGGAAATCCCTTTGTTTAACGCGCCTTTTCGTGGGTTGTTTATCTCTAGCGCCTCTTTTTTTTGTTTTTTGTTTTACACCCGCTCGATAGAGAAATTGGAGCCAGAGGCTCCACCATATTGATCTCCCCCGAGCTCGGGTCATTGGCCATTTCCGATGGAGCGGACTGCGCTCCAACGGACGCGATCAATCATTCGCGCTCACGGGGGTCCAATATGGCGGCCCGATCCCCGGGACTCCACCTGGGACTTATTTTGGGCCCCGGTTAGAGAAACGCGCACTTTTGTCTGTATGTTTTCACTTCCGGACCTTCTGGGGACGTGCATTATCGAGGATATGCCGCGTCGGGGGGGGGATTAATTGATATCTATAGGTTTCAGGATCGATTAAAGTGAGGTTAGGGGGCTCGGATGGTGGACGGACGCGGTGGGACGCGAAGGACAGCGAGTGAATTTCATGGACGGAGGTTTTTGTCGAAATCAAACTCTCTCTCTCTCTCTCGAGGCGATATGCGCGGGTCTCGTTCGATATGATAATCAAAAGGCGGAGCGTTCTATGCGTTTATTATTGTTAATAGGTTATTGATATTTATTATCGGAGGATTAAATATGTGATAAAAAGTATAAATTATTTAGTAGAACGTAGGTCCGTATTACATGAGTGTTACGAGCGTAGGGAAGGGAATGCCTGCGAGGATACGTTTACTGGGCTTTTAATTAAGAAAATAGGGTGTCTCTCTTTAAAGGTGCGGGAATTATTTCGGAGACCTTGCCGAAACTCCAGGCTTTCCAGGGATATACCCTGCGTACTTGTTTCGGGTACACGTATCCTCGCACTGCTGATTTATCGGATAGGACTATCTATATAAAAGTACCTACATTAGATATACAATATCTCTAACGTAATTGTTGGTTTATGGTAACTTCACGCTAGATTACCCATCCTGTACCTATAATGGGACCAAAATTTTAATTTCACCTCTACATTTCATGCCCACCTCACCGGAAAAAAAAAAAAGAAAGAAAAAAAAGGAAACTTCCGTTCCGCCGTCGCACATTGTTGCAGTTAGTCCAGACATGAGGGAAAGTAGAAAGAGCGCAACGTTCACTTTGAAGCGACCACTTGTAATCCAAAGCTCTCACTTTTTCAGCCTCTTTTGAGGCGTTTTGAAAGACCTATTTATAGATGGAAATAGAGAATTTAACCAGAGGGATTTTCCTGGATTTTCTTTTCCGGAAAACTTCTGCAGTGGACTAGCTGCAACCGACTTGCAACGTGGCGCGAGATTTGAATTGTAAGCGCTGGCTGTTCTTCCCTGGACTTATTTAAAAATGGTTATTAATCGTAAGGAGAACCGTAAAATCCGTACCGAGGGTCGGGGAACCTTCGTTAACATTTATCGGGAGGAAAGAAAAAAACGGAACAACCGAAAACGCGTAGAAATTAGCGGGTGTCGTAGAAATCGAAAATTCTTCGGAGAGTGAGCGCTTACGGTTTCGATTTATCATATTCCACTCTAAACTCTTTCCCGAACCGTCCAACCGACGTCACTCAGTGACAACTCGAGCCGTGTAATTAAAAGTAGATGGAAATTAGAGGGAGATAAGTGAAATCCACTAATTGACGGCGCCACATCGAAGGAGAACTCAAAATCTAGGAGATATGTCGTATTAAGTGATTTGCCAAAAGTCCGAAACGTGGGATTAATTAGCGCATGCCGCGACGAAGGCTCTTTAAAGAATTAAGCCCTTAACACATTCGCGAGCGGCAAATTTATTCCGTTTCAAGTACCGAGTACCGGCGAAAATACTGAAATTCTTAAACTAGTTGCCGCAAACTTGCATCGCTAAAGCAAGGATTAAAATGATTAAATTTGTGCGCCACGCCGGTTAACAATTAGTGAGCCGACCAAGCAGGACGTGATTCACGTCAGCGGCAATCAGGAATAGAATTTAAAACGACGTGAATTCACGTCAGCGGCAACCAGGAATAGAATCTAAAATTACGTGAATTCACGTCAGCGGCAACGGGGAATAGAACTTGAAAAGACGTGAATTCACGTCAGCGGTCGCTAATGTGTTGAGGAAAAAATATAAACGGGGTGTAAAGGAGAGATCCTTTTCCGTGTTTCGCAGATTAGAACACGTGGAGTATATCGAGTATATCGAAAATCAAAATGCCCTGGTTAAGTATCAACCTCTCGGTGAGATATAAAGCGACCAACTTTTAACGATCCGCTTTTTAAGGTCGGAACTCTGTACTCCAAATTGCATCCTAATGTCTACAAGTAACCCTTCGTTCGTGATTATATATCGGAATTCGCGACCAGCAGTTCTTTTCGACGGTTTTTTCACTCTACAGATCGAGCTTCCTTTAGTAGAGAGACGCAATTGCGTCGATGTGAAGACGCTACCGACTGTCAGTACCGCGGTCCAATTATTCATCCAGAACCTCTTCAAGAATCATCCGACTGCTGGGCCGAATTTCCTTAGGGACCGAATTTAATCGAATTTCCCCGATTATCGAGATATATATATCTGCGGAAAGTCGAACGGCGTGTCCATCGGTCGCATCTTTGACGATCGGATCCCCCTTCGTTGTTCATGAGATCATTAAATGATTAAATTATTAAACTATCAGATTATAATGTATAGATATGCAGGCGCGTCCGAGAGGACGTCCTGCGAAGTCCTGCGATTCGTACTCCTTAAACGTCTTCGGGTGCTTCGGTTAAAAGGAGAAAAAGGACATATTATATATATCAATATAAATATATCAATATATATATATATACATCGAGCGGTAAATCTCATTGACTTCTTCCATTTGTACATCGGCTCAATATTGCTATTATGATTACATTTATTATTACCATTATTAATATTATTACCATAGCGAGTGCCAGGTCGACGTTTAAGGGTGTCGATCGGACGTGGGGATGAGAAACTTAACGTTTGCGACACGTTACTAAGGGTTGAATGTTATTAATAATTATATAATTAATGTACTCGTTAGCGGAGGCGTGTCGCAGCTATGCTGACTGATTATGGCGATGGATATCGCTATGGGGAAAAATTGGCGGCGCTAAAGGTCGACGTAGAGAGGATTTCCATTCTTTTTGAAGAGTCCCATATGAAGAAATCCATTAATTCTTTAAAGTCATTATTCGCCATTTCTTGCCTCGTTTGAACGTTCTCCTGATAAGGGACTTGATATACCGGGGAAGGACCAAAGTATCGGACTTGTTGAAAGATTGCAGATCGGAGAAGAAAATTCGGAGATAAGGATCGTTTCTGTTATCGGTCAATTTTATCATTCCTTTATACACGAACGAACGAAATGATGGGTTTAATTGGGTTCGGGGTTTCGACTGTATCACGACATATCACTCGACAATAAAGGTCGTTCGTTCGGCAAACTTTTCTTCCAAATTTGAAAAAGCTCTTCCCTTAAAACTCGCCTGATAAGGTTTTCGTATATGAGCTTTTAATCAGTTAACAGAAGAACGGCTTCGCTGATGATCCCCTAAATTCAACAAAAAATTTACTTCCTAGGAATTCCTATTTATTTATTTGTTTTCCAGGTAAAGAAACTTTTTGGCTTCGGTAAAGTTGATCTTATAAGAATCATTAACCACTTGCGCTATAAAGACGTGCCACGCACATCGAGATGCTTTCGTTCCAAAACTGCCAGCGACATGTATACAAAACTTACCAAACCAAAGTAAGGCATGTCAAGGGGCGATTTGGTAGTTTCACTCACAAGAACATAATATTTTTTAACCAATCCACCTGGAAAGGCTTTCTCATAACGAGAAATGAAAAATATAATTTTCTCATTTAAAAAAAAAATTAAGGGGTGAGCTACCCCTCACAGGCCTTACTTTGGATGGTGGTTTCACCCCCTTAAAGTGTTTAATAGCAGATAAAAAAAATACGTGTCGCTCAGTTTTCAGTCTACTCTAACATATTATAAAAGAAATTAAATCGGAGAGATCGACCTGGGATACCTTCCTTGTAAGAGCGCCTAAAGGCGCCCGACGTTTGGTCCAATATTGCCTGCACGGTCAGACAAATTTCGCCCATATGTCGAAATGGCCCCGTGCTCAAATGGTTAAATTCATTTGATCGTATTTTATCGATAGCCAGTAAAGATGAATTCCTCTTATTTTCTTCCTTTTTCCTAGAAAGTAACTTTTTCGCTCAATCTAGGGCGTCTGGTTTGTTAAATGCATTCGTATAAGTACTCCTGCAGATTCTTCCGTTCTCCAGAAATCTTACGTCGAGGACGGATCACTTGACTTTGACGCTGACGAGTGACGTTTCGTTAGATCAGCTGACTTCCGCCGAGGAGCGAGCGTGCGAGAATAAACGTTTCTATTGTACCGAAGACAATGGGATCAATCGATTGATTTACTTTCCCCAGCCAATCCCGGAAGCCTACCTATCCGCCCCGGTATTTCCGTTCTCCCCGACATCCCAGAACGTCCTAGGGAACCATCCCCTGGTCCATGGTCCGAAGGACGAAGATATCCTGCAGCAGATCATCACGGACGACTGTTATTGGCTCGGAGCTGCACATCCTGCCCCAGGATTAGACAATGCATCGGTCAGTCATCGATCCTATAAACACTTCCTACGAAATTTCACTTTTATCTAGAGTTTCACCCCTAAACGTTACATTTTTTAAGTCGAACTTACGGCACGATAGTAAGCGCAAGTTCGAATGTTGCGAAACTAAAAGGTTCTTCATTTTTTAACAGTCAATTAAGGTGATGTGAAAGTGGCGTCGAAGAGGTTCTGTTTATAAAACTTTTCTCCCAACTCGGTTTACCGAATAGTCTGAAACTTTACAACGTGAACAGGGAGACTATAAGGGAGGTCCTGAAACTCATGAAATTTAAATTATTTTCAAATTTCTTTATAGGTATTTTAAAAGTAGTTTATAAAAAATGAAATTTCCCGAGTTTCAGGACCTAGCTTAGGGTCTCCGTCTTCACGTTTTAAAGTATGAAACGATTTGAGACACCCAGTTCGCAGAAATGTTTTATGAACGACTGAGCCTTAGGATGCCACTTTCACATCCCCTTAACTATTACATTCATCTATGAGTTTTAGTATCAAGGTGATGCGAAAGTGGTGATGTGGTTTAGCACCAAGGCGATATGAAACTTATCCTCGAACTGAATATGAGTGAATATGAAGACTGTGAGTAAGTTCTTGACACCCACACAATTTAAAGTAAAAAACGTTTATAAACTTCTTTTCTTTTTTTCTAATTTTTTTTATAGGAAATTAAATTTCATGGGTGTCAGGACCTTTCTTACTGTCTTCATATTCAAGTTGAATAATGTTTGATACGATTCGGTGGGTTCAGTATGGAGAAAAGTTTCATGAAGAATTAACTCCTCGGATGCCACTCACATCCCCTTAATATTCATATAATTTCTGTATTAATAACATAATTTCTACGGTAACATATCATTTATACCGTTTTCTCCTTACGCGGGAAAGCAGAACTACGCGGCTTTTCTAGATTATTCTCATCGGTTTAGTCAAGAATGGTTGCATCCAGCTTCGATGACTTCCCAGGAGCTGCAGGCGACTTTCATCGAGCAGCCAACTTTTCTGTTCCATGAGAACTGCCCTCTCCCGGGTGGCTACGACCACCTGACCTACAGCTGCAGCAGCAATTCCAGCAGTAGCAGCCTCGACTGCAATTGTTCCAATCACGAGCGTAATCGGGAAAATCTTCAAGACGGCAAGAATCCATCGGTAAATCCTAGAAATGTTCATTGGTCTTTGGGAACGAACCAGAACAGCTGGAATCCCAAAGAAGGTGAACAGCTGATCGCAAAGACGTCCGCCATCTTGAATAGCGCGGAAGAACCTCACGTGGTTTCCCAGAAGAGTCAAAGTCAAGATCAAGGGCAAAGTCAGATGCCCGAGAGAAATGATTGACGAAAGTCCGTCAATCTCTACTGGTTGAATTATTTCCACGTTTTGATTTAAGGATCGCAAAGATCGAACTTCGGCATATTTTTATTTAATTCAATCTATTAATTGAAACCCCGTTAAAGCATTTGTCTGCGCAGTTGGCTGGCAGACTACATGGAACGAAGTTCTATTCCGAAGTAAAGACGAAAAGGATATTGTTTACATTGTTAATTAAAAACTACATTCTTAATTAAAAACTGAAAAGTGCTTTGCAAGGTTTGCATTAATTATTAAGACATTACGTAACAAGATTGAAGAATAGGACAGAGTAATTTCAAATGTATGGATCTCTTAAGTAATCAGGTTTTATTAAATGATATCGCGGTATCGGTTATGAAATATCCATTATAGACGAGGGTACACAAATGCGACGTACAAATCTATTTCCACAACTTTTTGATAGACATGTTCTTCTCAGAATCCTTCTGCATCACCTTGGCCACGGCCATCTCAAAGTCTTCTTGCGTGACATGTACACGGCGCTCTCGGAGAGCATACATGCCAGCTTCGGTGCATACTCCCTGAAAATAAAAATTTACACGTATATTTCTTTCATTCCAACAGTTACGAAGAATTCTTAATAACGTAATCGCCTCTCACTTTAACTTCTGCACCCGATGCACCAGGCATCAGCTCCGCAATCTTTCGTAAATTAATTCCACGAGTGAGGTTCATCTTCCTCGAATGAATCTTCAAAATGTCCAACCTGGCTTCCTCGTTTGGAGGAGGGAATTCAATCTTACGGTCGATTCTTCCCGGGCGCAATAAAGCTGGATCCAAAATATCAATTCTATTCGTGGCCATGATAACTTTTATATTCTTTGTCGCTTCGAAACCATCCAGCTGATTCAGAAGCTCCAGCATCGTACGTTGAACCTTAGGAAAAAGGAATTAGAATTTCGCAATTCATTATTTTATAATCCGATACTTTCTGTTACGCGTGTGTCAGTACCTCACTGTCTCCTCCAGAGCCAGACTCGATACGTGAACTTCCAATCGAATCGATCTCGTCCATGAAAATGATGGACGGAGCATGCTCTCTAGCCATGACAAAGAGCTCTCGCACCATCCTGGATCCCTCACCAATGAATTTTTGAACCAATTCAGATCCAGATACTCGAATGAAAGTACATTCAGTGTGATGCGCAACAGCCCTGGCTAGCAGAGTCTTTCCAGTACCTAAACAATTATTCAGGTTATTCCAAACGTTCTCAGGGATGCATCTATATCGTATTTAAAATTAAATACTTACCTGGTGGACCGTAGAGGAGTACACCTTTCGGCTGAGCAATTCCTAAAGCATCGAATAACTCAGGATGTTTTACAGGTAATTCTATAACTTCCTTGATCTCTTTAATCTGCTTGTCAAGACCTCCAACCATCTCGTAAGTGGAGTCTGGGACTTTCTCGACCATCATGAGAGATACCAATGGATCGACCTTATTTGGCAAAATCTTATGGAGGGTGTAACTCTCATTGCGTAGAGCTACTCTCGAGTTAGGTGTTACATCGTTAATATCAATGTTCTTATCTAGATCTACCACGAATTTCCCTTCGGGGTGAACCTTAACCAGAACCTTCTTCTTGTCCATAGGCTTGACTACTTCGCCCACGTAAGAGCCCTGTTCTTGAAGAAGCTGTAACTCCTCTCGCAGCATACGTACTGGAAAATAATAAAAATACCATTGAACTACATCTTTCGGAGAGAATCACAGTGTTTCCGTAATCACATCAAATGCATCTACTAGCAGCTAACAATGTACCTTTTGCATTGAGCTCGTTACGCTGAGCTTGCAAACGCCGAAGATTTTGACTCTTCTCTGCTACAATCAACTGCAACTCCTCAATTTTCGTAATGTAATACGGTTTGAAGCCCTCTCCCTTCATAGTCTTCTCATCAACTTCCATCTAAGAGAAAATGTCCAAAACCCAAAAGGTTAGGTTACGTTTACCCAAATTACTAGCAGAATATTAATGATGTACTTACTTTATTTATGAGCGTCATGATTGCGGCTTTTATGTACACCTCTCACAAAAAGTACAACTGACGCTCATTTACCTTTTATTTAATATGAATACTCGATGTCAAGAACAAACGGATTTTCGCAGAACAGCTTGTCACCATGAACATGAATTACGAGTTAAAAAGTTAAGATACTTCTACTAGAGATAAAGAAACCGATTTGCGATTGCACTGCCTGAGGAAGGAGTTTCAAGAACTGCATACAATTTCGTGAAGTGCGTAAAAATTTTTGAACATTCCCAAAGAGTATCGTTCAAAAAACAAAGTAAATGATTCGAACACGCTCAAACCTAACTAGGTTAGTTTAGGATTTTATGCTTGAATCTTAACTAACCTAACCTACTTTCGTCGGAAAAGGTGGAAAAAGGGATCGACGTCATTCATGATGTCGGAATGATGCCGGAAAGAGGCTCACACACGTAAACCAAAATCCAATATATTAAGGTGGAAGTGGATGTAAAATGAGCATACTACTTCATGGCGTCATTCGGAGGGAAAGTTGACATACCAAGGGGAACATAACCTCTACCGACATAGATTACTGGTGAAATATAAAATGGAATCAGATGCAAGTCTGACCTGTACCGCCGTAATTGAATGGCTAAGTGCTCAGGGAACGATAATAAAAAAGGCAAATCACAGAACTGCGGTTTTAAGGTTAGTCAGAAACAACCAGCGAGAGATATTCATAGAGGCTCGCTCAGATAAGCCAAGCATTCGGACGCAGCTAGAGCTGAGAAATATCCAAGTCTTTAATAGATTCATGACAAATGGAAAGGCATCGATAAAATTCCAGAAAGAGAACTGTACTATGTTTCTGTCAAACGCACCCGCGGCTAGTCTGGTGAATTTCCTGAAAATGATATTCGTTAAAATGACTGGACAAGGTGAAAAGCCTATGAAGAATCCTTTGAGGGAGACATTGCTGACGAATAAATCCATAGGAGGGATCCAAGAGATCAGCCCTGCCACCACAGCGGAGATCAAGAAGGCACAGGAAAAAGCTGCAGCGGTGTCTCGTAGCACAATCACTACTCCATCGCCAAGTGGAACTAAAAAACGTCCAGCTACTCAAAATAATACAAGGAACCTCACTGGAAAGAGGCTCTACGAGAATCCTGCAGCAGGTCAGCTGAACGAGGAACAGAAGAAGGTGCTGGAGGCGGCACTGAGTGGAAGAAATCTTTTCTTTACAGGCAGTGCAGGCACTGGAAAATCATTTCTACTGAAGAAAATCATCGGAGCATTGCCACCAGATGTTACCACAGTCACTGCGAGCACTGGTGTAGCTGCTTGTCATATAGGCGGAGTTACTTTGCATCAATTTGCCGGAATTGGATTAGGCACAGCTGGACTGCAAAAGTGTTATGAACTCGCTTCTAAAGCAGGCAGTGCTTCAATTTGGAGGAAAACTAAGCACCTAGTTATAGATGAGATTTCCATGGTCGATGGAGATTTTTTTGACAAAATCGAAGCGATAGCCAGGCATGTTCGAAAAAATGATAAACCTTTTGGAGGCATCCAGCTGATTCTCTGTGGAGACTTCTTTCAGCTCCCACCAGTATCAAAAAGAGATGAGCAGGTAAAGTTCTGCTTTCAGAGCAAGGCATGGAATACTTGTGTGCAAATGAACTTTGAACTGCACATTGTGCACCGGCAGAAGGATCCCGAGTTTGTGAACATCCTGAACAGCATCAGAATTGGCAGAGTCACTGATGATATCGAGAACACTCTAAAAGCGACTGCAAAGCAGAAGATAGAGAAAAACGGAGTGTTGGCCACTAGGCTTTGTTCGCATGTTAACGAAGCTAATGAGATTAATGACTCACAGTTAGAACAGCTGTCAGGGTCTTCTATGGTATTCAATGCACAGGATTCTGACGGAGCAAATACAAAAATGCTGGATCAACAACTTCCAGTTCCTGCGAAGCTTCTTCTGAAGATCGGCGCGCAAGTGATGCTGTTAAAGAATTTGGATATATCTTCAGGTCTTGTCAATGGTGCCAGAGGTGTTGTTACAAGTTTCAAGGATGGCTTTCCAGTAGTGCATTTTAGATCTGGTGCTGAGTACATGGCCAAAGTGGAAAAGTGGACAGTTAAGGCAGGAGGTGGTATGATATACAGAAAACAGATTCCCCTAAAACTTGCATGGGCCTTTTCCATTCATAAAAGCCAGGGTTTAACTCTGGATTGTGTAGAGATGAGTCTTGCTCGAGTCTTCGATGCTGGCCAGGCTTATGTAGCACTGTCACGTGCAGAGAGTCTTCGGTCGCTTCGTGTGCTTGACTTTCATGCACAGCAAGTCTGGGCAAATCAGTCCGTACTTGAGTTCTTCAAACGGTTCAGAAGGTGTATACATGAAATGGAGATAATTCCTCTAGGAAAGAAGAAGAAGATTAGTAATAATTAATAATATTTATAGCATAATTGAAAAAGGGACTGACGCAATGATACAATCATGTACAATTCTATGCCTTACTTTATCTTACCGTTATTTGACGCGGATAGACAACTTTAGACAATTTTATATAGCCATTGAATAAGCTATTAAAACGTACACTCATCATGTAACATTGGAAACCATAAGTTTTATTCTTTTTTACATTTTACTCTTAGATAACATAGAAACAATTAGGGATAGTTTTTGGAGTGTTAACAATCATCGACTGTAATTTCGATCGGTGGTATGTATCGCCAGACATGACCAGCGTTAGCCAACTCTGTACAGAATGTTGAGGTATCAGCCGTTGACTCTTTGCTACTACACTGGATGTCCAGTTTGTATTGACCCGCAGTAAAGAATACCACTCGACACTCATGATACGCACGTCCAGCTTCTTGCAACTGTCAAAAGATTTATTTAATTACAACCTAACATCAAGCATAGAGATTAAGACTGTTATTGTAACCTACCGTGGGCAACATAACTTTGTTTGCTCCAGCAATGGACAATCTAGTATCCAGTCTATAATTGTTAACTCCATTGTGGTGATCCTGATAAAAGTTAATAGACAATGTGAGGTCACCAAGTGGATGCTCAAGAGCATTGCACACTCCAACTCCGATGCTAACACACTCTCCAAGAGTACAGCTCAGCTCATCTTGAGCCTTGACTGCACTGTCATTTATTGTGATCTCTGTAAGTTATTAAATCAATTGTTTAAAATGACTCGCTTCTTGTAAAAGAATAGTGAAAGTGTTTCAAAGTACCCCACTGCAGTGGACTCATTCTGACCAAGTCAAGCATGTCCTGGGTTAAAGTAATACCAGTCAAAGTGGCCTTTCCTGTTAGATCGGTACCCAGGAGCTGCCATCGGAGGTCCACAAGCGAAGCTATATGCTCTGCACAGACTTTTTGCAGCTCTGCATTGCCAGCAACTTCATTTGTCTTGACAGTTAATGTTAAATTAATTAGTGATTATGTTCATTTTCTAAAATTTCATAATTTGTTACTCACTGAAGAGAGCTTGTTTAATGGACAGCGATCGACAGGTACAGGTATCCGACAGGGTTCCCTGCCTTCCATGTAAATACATTTACTCTGTGTATAGTATAACTCCATTTCATGGTTGGTCATATTAGTTACATCCAGTACGAGATAGAATTGCGAAGGCCTAAAAAGGAGGATCGGGTTGATATCTGGTACAAAGAAAAATTATCGACAGAAAGTACGTACGTCTCAGCAGGAAGCACGTCCCAATTTGTGATTCGCACACTGGGCAAAAGTTCTATCGTCACATAGACCGACGAGATTCGGCAGTAGCCAGCTGCAAGGCCAGCACTGCCAGAGTACTTAATCTTTAATTGACCTTCGATAACGTTTGAAGCATGTAAAGGAACAGCCAGCTTCGATAGGCGAGTGCTAGCTAGCGAAGAGTGAGCTGACTGCGAGCTGACACCAGAACGAAAGGAAGAGGTTAGGTCAGACTGTCTCTTAGTGTGGTGCGAAGGGGAGCTCAGCCTCGAAGGCAGCGAGCTATGCCCTGATTGTGACATGGAACTGCCAGGTTGGCTTAGATAAGCACTACTGCTAACATCTGAAAAGGTTTCCTTGATAGAAAAACGAGTTAAACGAGCCATTGAAACTAATAAGCTTTCATACCATTTCGAGGCGTAGGAGCTATGAACTCTGTCACCGCATAGAGATACAGTGTCAGGCTTGCACTGGCTCCAGGAAGTAAAGGTAACTGAGTCTTGAGATTCTCCTCGCTCCATTTAAAGATCTTCTTTTCCGTGGCTGTGTCCAAAGCAGACTGAACTGACACTTCTACTGTTTCAACCGGCAGCTGGCCCACATTGGTTATGGTTACGGTGCACTCTGCACTACATCGATCAACAAAAAAAATGTTTATCACATTATGCACTGTCTCATTTCAGGACTTAATTATTCTTCTTTTCTACCTTTCACCGCCATATAGAGATACACTGGCACTGGTCACGATGTTTTCTCCAGAACTAAAACTGGCAGTTTGGGGGAGACTTGTTGCGACGTCAATCTTTGGCAGAACTGGAACCACCTCCACAATGTATTGTGGGTGCGGCATGTTTTCCATGTGTCTTAACCTACAATTTGATTTCACTCCAAGTGTGTGTGTGCTAAAGCCGAGGATCTCTAGTTCTCCGACTTCTTTCGGTGTTCCAGCTAATGTGACAGCCATTGGACCGGACTCTGCAGGCAACACCACAGTGTCAGGAATTGACTCAAAGACCACTCCACTGGTTAACAAACGCATGTTTGAAACTCGCAGCTCAAAAGGAAGGGGATTGACCAGCTGCATAGAGACTTCGCAAATGTCTCCTTCGACCCACAAGTAATCTGCCGTGTCAAAGTGTTAAATGATAACAGACTGATCTGTATGATTACAAAGCCTGTCTATACATTATAATACTCGCCAACTTTGCTCTTCGAAATGTTTTTCCTCTCCAGCGAGCCAAAGTTTATCGGAGTGAATAGGAATGGTCCATGGTCCTCCTTAATGCGCTCTATTTTCTGCGGCTGCAGATGTGGCTGTAGGTTCTTTAGAGCAAAGGATTTCGTCTTTGGGATGTTTGTGAGGTTAGCTGGCGGAATTACAATACCAGAGTCCAGGACCTGAGTGAGTGTGAGGTTAAAAGTATTCAGTGTGATTCTAATATGGAATTTTAATTTCTAGACTAACCAGAGGGACTGGTGCTCCTTCACACTGCTGTGAAACATTTTGCAGGTGTAACGCAGTGTCTCTCCTCTCATTTGCTGTCAAATGGTTGTACATTGTTTGTAGGAGGAACGTCATATGACGAGTTGTCAGTGCTGCATTGCCCATTCGATTGGCAGCAGCCACCAACTCGTTTATCACCTGAATCTGTATTGCAGGCCAACCTCTCTGCCCATCTGTAAACATAAGATCAAGCTTATGCAGTTCTAAACAAATATTTTAATTTTTGGAATGAAAAGTGAAATTGTACCCAATGGCATATCTATGGGATCAAGGGATAATTTAAACCCAGACGTAGCTTGCAACATTAAATTGTAACATTGTTGCCAATCTGGATTAGGATTATTTTGAGAGACATGTCGAGTTGCTGCGAGTCTTAAACAAAACGCAGATTTTCTTGCGAAGCCAAAGGAAGCATATAATTCAGACAGTGTTGTGAAACGATCAATCTGAAAGAATATGCATGTTCTTAAAAAATGTCAATCCCGAACTTCATTTCAAAGCAAATCATTACATACCTTCTCCTGTTCGCTTAGGGTAACGCTGATAAATATCACGTTGTTTAGGAACGATGCTGCTTGCAGTGTGCAGTTCTGTTCGATCGATATTCTCGTTGCTTTGAAACTCGCTTCGGTCTCGATGATGGCAGCATTCTGGTATTTACTGTAGTGGACTATGGCGTCACAGTATTTTTTAGAAATCTCTTCAGGAGCCAAAATGTGAGGCATAGTAGATTTCGCGATCTCAGCTGTAGGTGCTGGAGGTAATGATGCAACTGCCTGTGAGCCTCTTCTACAAGATTACAGCAATGTTTATTAATGGTATAATCGAAATAAGTGTACGTTTTTCTTTAATAAAATGGACAAAACCTTTGTTTTCCAGGACTTCCTTCTTGCAAGGACGAGTTTCGCTGCAATGGAAGACTTCGGCACATGTTAGGATATAGTACTAGGACCGAAGCAGAGCACAACCCCTCGTACGCTGCTCCGAGCCACAGCCAGTCATTGACTGCCTGCAGAATATTAGCTGCAGAGTTGTACAGATTCAGAGCATCTCCGGGCAATCCGGCTTGAAGACATAAATCCCCTAAATGTTTTGTCATTCTTCCCAGGCATCTCTTTTTATTGTTCCTAGATTCGAGGTCCAGACCAATGAAGTCCTTTTTTTCGAAGGGGGCCAAAAGCAAAGACACCCTGTCCACTTTTTCTCTGGTGCGTTCCAGCCTCTTTGATTCCAATATCCAGAAAAGGGAGTTCAGACACTCCGCTATTTGTCCCTCCAGATCAGGGCATGTTTCGTCAGCATAGAAGACTCCTCGTGTTTTAAAGTTTGACGGCGTCGTGAATGACTTTGGTGGTTGATTCCGATTACTCGATTCTTCTGGACCAAAAAGTATCGCTCTAGAGTCGTAGAGTGTTGCACTATACTTCACTTTCAATGTCTCATGTAGCCTGCATAGTTCGTTGAGCTCTGTCTGACTGTCGTACTTGCCAAATGTTATCAAGCCGAGCAATCTTCGGTGTGTTTGGAAATCCCCCCAGTCATTATTTTCCACAGGATGCTCCCTAACGAACCTGGCGAGGATTTCCCTGGTAACCCCGGCAGAATCTACGGTGAATCTACTGCCACTCTTTACAATTCTTTCGCATAATCTTGTTACAGTTTTCTGCTTTATTATCACGCCAACAGGCTTTAGAAGTAATAACAATGCTGCGTGATCGTGTGCTGTCTGTTCATAGTCTGGGTGAGACATCTTGACGTCGGGCACAGGACTCGACAGGATTATGCTAACTGCTGCACGCATTTATTCGTCCCTCGTCTCCTGACGTTGTTTTAAGATTACCTGATTTCCCCAAAATACATATTATTATTTTATATGTAATGAAATACTGAAATATTAAGAAATCCTAATGAGAAGTGTAATAAACATTACATCTGGTGTTAAAACACGCTTTAGTTGACATTTACTTGATTCATTATACGTTGTCACCGAAATCTCTGGCGTTTCGATCATCTATTTATCGAATTCAGTCATTCATCAGCTGTATAACGTTAATCAACCTTTTCATTCAACTATCAACAGCTGCTGTCAGTTGCAGTAGGGCAACACTGGGCAACACTTTTCAAAACACTTTTCTGCACCTTTCCATGGAGTATGTACAATTTTTATACTCCAGCGCCCTCTCTGCTCGGAGAAATTTCATACAATGAACTAAAACGTTCGGTGTGTTCTAAATGCTGATTGTGTCCAATATTAAGGCAGATATTAAGGTAATAAGAAATGGAGAGTTCTAATTGGACACAAATTATTGTATGCACATTAATTATTTTACAGTTTATTGTACAAGTAGCGCAAGTACATAAGTTCTCAAGCTCGGTTAAAAGAATATTAATAAATTGTCCGGTTTGGTCATCAGCTTCTTCTTTCGTTCTTTTTCTTTCGCATTGCACTGCAGGCAGCTCGCCTGCATTCTCCACAGAGGGCAGCACAGAACGCGATCGCGCGACATGCCCATGAGCAGTCTCCCAACTTATCTCTGGCGCTACTATGTTAAATCGATGGTAATATGAGGTCTCGGAATGAAAATGTAGTTGACACGGAAATCACAAATGGCGTAAGATGGCACTGTATAGTCAATTAGGGCCTCAGGAATCATGAATCCAGGAGATTTCTAGTTTTACTTCGATTTCTTGCCACTTAGTACTATACTCAATATAATTCGACACAGTTGTCAATATGAAAACGAACGTCGGCACGTCGTATTTAGACGAATCATTTTTACCGACGTTGGTAAAATTTCTTGACGTGTTTCACTTCACCTTAAAATACTCAGTGGTTCATTCCTTAAAAAAAGAGTTGATAACCAGAGGAAGTTGAATCGAAGTAAAATTAACTCGTTTTGCTTATTACTTCCACTAATAATTCCTCGAAGTCTTAACCATAATTTTTAATTTTAAATGTCAATGACAATTCTATTTACAGTTCTGAGAAATAATTGTAAGTCAATTTTATTCGTATGTAACATCTGTATAGTTTTATTGAAACTGTGGCACTGTGTAGGGTGTAGACACCAAAAAAGAAATGTAAAGAAGTCTGTGTCCATGAATGCCTCAACTTTCCTCGCCAGTAAAGCTCTACTTATAATAATAAAATATCTTACTATAGTAATTCTATAATAATTTGTCACTTTGGAAGGTTATTACTAAGCCGTAACATGATTACGTTATCACTTTCAAGAACCAGCCCCAGCAGACTCAAATCTCACGGTTCTGTTTAAAACTGGGAGTTAATGTGATATGAAAGTGGTATCTCGGAAAGCAATTGATTATAAAACTTTTCTACTAACTGGAAGAATCGTTTTAAATTTTACCACGTGAATGTAGAGGTCCTAAGGAAGGTAATGTCACCCGTAAGATATCACTTTATGAAAAAAAACATAAAAATGTTTATAATAAAAATTATAAAAATGAAATTTCATGAGATCCCCGACCTCCATATTCAAGTAATAAAATTTCAAATGATTTGGTTATTTTCATAAATGAAACTCCTCAGACGCCACTTTTATATATCGTCTTAACCTCTACTTATAGATAAATTTGTCACCTTGTGTCGAATGTTTCTTTGTTCAGAACTCGTCTAGTAATAAATGACAAAGGGACGTACGATTGTAAAATATAAACATTACCATTGATTCGTGTATACATACACAATACTTCTAGACTTTATCTTGTACGATATACTGTGCTTAAACGCTAACTTCCTCGCACTCTTCATGTTGCAGGAAAATTGCACGTTGTTGATTGAAAGAAAAGATTAAATGCCCAAATATATTGATCTGTGCACCTCTTACACCGAGACAGCAGTTGCTCCGATCAGAGATATTACCTTGCAATAGACTCTGTGTAAGTCGAATGCTTTGTGAAAAAATTGTACACCACAAAAAGAAATGAAAGAATCTCAATGGAACGGATTTAGTGTCCTTACGAGTCAGGTTTTAGAGGTTAGGTACAGAGTGGTCCATAGACTTTAACAGACTATTGTTCATTCTGGAAAGCATACAGAAAACAATGATAGGTTTTGTCAAGTTGATTTGAAAAGGTGAAGAACATTTTTTACTTACTTTTTGATCATGTGATCGTAAATGAAGGAAGGAATAACAGTTATCGTGATGATATCTCCACCCTTTTCGATCTCTGCTGTGATCTCCTTATCTTTCAAGCCGATTACATTTTTCCCATTTACTTCAAGAATCTGATGATCCGTTAAGAGGCCATTTCTAGCAGCAGATGAGTCCTTTATCAAAGCAATGATCTTTCCATTCTTAAACTGGAATCCAATGTGTCCGGAACTATACTTGTGCATCGTTATGGTGCGCTCGAAAGGCCTAATAAATATGCATTCGTTACAAGAGTTTTTTTTAGATTATATAAAGTTGTGACTCTTACTCACCGATCTCTGATGACGACATTGATTCCATTGATTGGGCAGTTTCTAAATATTTTGTGCACCTTTTCCATAGAATAACCAGCCAGTGATTCTCCATTAATCTCCAGAATTTGATCTCCGAAGCGCAGTCCTGCAAGAGCCGCAGGAGACTTTGGGCTCACAAGACATACGAATACACCTTCGTTTACCGGATGAACTCTCAGTCCAACCTTCCCATCTTTGTCTTTACACAAAGTCAGCTGGATAGGAACAAAACAATTTTAAGAACATAATATTAATATATACGAATTTTGAAGTAAAACTTTCATAGCTATGGAACAGTAAAAAAAAAATCGATCTTCAAATCCATGCATCACACAGATTTTTTAATTTATTACTATTGATACTGATTTTTTCCCCATCTAACTGCTGTGTTGAAAACGTTGAATACTTTTATATGAATTCTGACATAGAAATTGTGTTCTTCAAAATGCAGAAGACATTTGTCCAGTTTCAATCTCTGGTTTAAGTAAACATTCAAGTTCGAAAGTGTTTGAAATACCGAAACGTTTTTAACAGTGTAGTTTATAATAATGGAGTAAGGTTCAGCCATGATGGACTATGATACATGCATAAAGTTGGGTTCAATAATAAATTTAACTCAACAATTAATGACAATCCAACTGTATCAACTACAAAATTAGGAATGACAACTGACGAAATGTTTGCAAGATATTTACATATTACAGTCAAGAACATTTGTACCATATTTTAGTTATCATATGCCTATAATTTAATTTTTAAATTGTAATGAAATGGTTGTGTCTGAACAAAGCAATATTTTGGTTCCCCAGTATGTTGTTAACATGTATTTTATCAAAGTAACGATACCCTTTTCATGTGTATACTTTTAAAATTCAGAACCACTCATTACCTCACGAATGCCATTAGTGACTTGAGCCCGCTGCAAGCCTGCCGATTGTCCGGATAATGGAGCCACCATATTCGCAATGAGTCCTTGAGGCTGAGACGGAAGGACCATGTCCATCTGTAATTTTACTATTTACTGAACAGATTCTTTTAAAAGTGCATATAAAGAAAATTTCTAAAGTACGACTTACACTATCTCGCTTAACGACTGCATATTCAGGCATGTTCTGTAGGATCGCTTCCTCACTGAGTTCCAGTCCCATATATTCTCCTAAAAATGGGTACAACGGTGCCGAAGGAGATGCAAGCGGTGCAGATGGAGCTGTAGGTGCACTGGGTATATTATGTGTTGGTTGAAGTCCATAATGCGGCTCGCTTTGCAATTGAGCCTAAGGAATTTATACACATTTGCAGAGCTCGTATGCCAATGAACCACTGATTCGAACTCTGACGTAGTATCTGCTATAAACTTGAGCTATAGTTAGTGTCAACTCTTTCGCTTACCTTGATCATGTGGTCGACTTTCATATCCTCCAGCGATGGATAAAGCGACATGTTTATAGCTGAAAAGCAATCGAACATTAGTAATAAATAACGTAATCTCACTATTTCACTGTATCAACGCAGGACATATTAAAGTAGATGTATACAAATAACTAACATAATTTCTTGAATACCAACGAGGCTTATACAACTTCAAACTATTTATTTAAAAAAATGATTTTTATAAAGACACAAGCCCACAATCTGTCACTGAATTTCCTCTGCATATTCATTAACATTAAGTAATATGATATTCAGCATCCATTATTGAACATGAACCGTTTAATATCTACAAATCTCTGGTATAATTCCTTCTATATGTTAGTCTCAGTGGTCCTGTAAACTCGTAGAAAAAAATGTGTTATCTAGGAGAAACAAGGCAGCTAGACAATGAAATGAGTAATCTACCGGGCAGAATTGCTACACGAATTTTCTCGCAATGTATTCATTGTGAATACGAACCTTGATTTCGTGGAAACTTCGGGAAAACTGTTTAATTCTAGTAATGTACTTTCAAGCACTTGAAAGAATGCACCGTTTTGAGCTGATTCCAAGCTGTCAAAGGAATGCCAGGCTACAATCTCTGCTGCGTGGGTGTTCACACACTGTCAAAGCAATTCCACCTATCTACACATATTTTTCCCCAGTAAGCTTTCTTGGAAATCCGTGACTCATGGCTATGAAATGGAACAAATTCGTTAATACCAATACCAAAAGTAAGATGGCGCGCCGCTTTCAACAAACGGTGCTTGTCCAGAATTATAATTCAATAACTATAATCAGAGATATCGTTATGTCTATAACTTCTTATTAAGAGAATACAAAATTTCACTTTTCTACAACAAGTTTATTCTCTCCTTCACTAGACTCTGGTATTTACGAATAAAATAGTTTCCATTTTAAATTTTCGCGCTCGATTCGCGACTCCATGTTTAGTCAATATAACATTTATGGAATGCTACGATTGTAATTCCACAACAGTTTAGAGCTTTTCGGCAAAGCTATCGAAGTAATAAAATATATCCTCGCCTAAAAGTCGATAATCTTTACTTCCAGTTATTCTAATGAAAGAAATACACCTTCCGGAATATATTTTGGATTACCGAGTCGTTGCGCGCCATCTATTTGAGAGTATCAGAATTTGAACGGCACAGAATTCCCAGTAGATAAAATCCATTATCTACGTTCTCTTACACCCTGAAAATAATGAAAATTAAAATCCTTAAAGTAAAACACATCCTAGATGCAATATATTCTCAAATGTTAAGGATAAAAAGGAAATTAAATTACCCCATAACGTGCTTATCCCTAGTCAACAATTTGAACTCGGCGCCGATCCAAGATGGCGTCGTCGTGCGTCACGTGGTCACGTGCTCCAAAAACCGGTCTCAGCGTGGCTCAACCTGTCACCGCGCGTCGCAGGGTGCACACAGGTGGTCAGGTGAGAATTGAGCCGAGTCGAGCCGAAAAGTAGCGCGAGTGAAAGCAAGACCTGGCGCAGGTTAACCGATCGGTAGCCGGGAACGGTCGCTGGCCACGGAAAAGGAGAAGAAAGCGAGAGGGAGTAATGGTGGACGCCGCGCGATGTCATTAACCGTCAGTCTTCTGGTTCTCGGGGCTCTTTGCGTTTTCGCGAGCCCCGAGACAACTCAGTCATGGTACGAGTCGTTGCCGGCAGTCGCCATGGACTACAAGGTGCACATTGACCCCGGAAAAGAGGACTGCTACTTCCAGTACGTTAACCCAGGCGCGACCTTCTACGTCAGCTTCCAGGTAACCCTTCCCTTCACTCCTTAGGATTTTTGAGTCACATTTCGCTCCGACATTTCAGCGTAGGCTTATGAATAACCTTGAAAAGTGAGAAAATAGGTTAAGAGAATTTAGCAGGGGTGACGAAGAAACTTTTGAGTATCTCTAATCTTGGAACATATGGGAGCGCAGTGTGCAGCGTGGCTGTCATCAGGTGGAGGCGGCGCTCGCGCCGCGGTGGAAAAAATTGGAACTACTGGCGGGAGTTTTGAAAGGGTGGAAGTCAAGAGAGTGGCAAGCTGAACTAGAAAAATATCCTCGATTCAAAATCCAATAAAATATATGTCATTTGACGCGTTTTTACGAGAATTCAGTAGGATTACTTGCAATTGGTGCAAGTTTAGGTTAGTCATTCAATTCTAATAAAGACTCGATGAAATAATCACTTTAAATTGTCTCACTACACCTGCGTAGGTAGCATTCTACTTCTCTTACTTTGGTTTCTGTAAATTTAATGTTTTACTGAAATTCTTCGTGGAATTCAGTAAAAAAGTGATGAACTCACTATCGAAGTCAATTTCATTTTCTAAAAATGTTGCCAGTTGATTTAGCTGCTGTGAGGAGTAAAGCGATACCTATATTATGAAACTATTTTAAGTGAATTTTTAATCAATTGTGTAATTTCACCGAACTTACGCCATTGTGAGTAGTGCTACAAAATTCTCCTCGTTGAAACCTATTGATCGATACAATTTTGTTGAGTTTTAGAGCAGAGATATTTTTGTAGTCGAGCTGAAAGGAGAGATATGTACTTTCGTTTCTCAGAATTTCTTCAGATTAGTGTTTGAGTTTTTACATAAATATTTGGATCGTAGAAAGAGTTTGATTGTTTCTTTAATCAACAAATTCACAATTCAGATATTCTGATATCAAAGTTTTAAACAATTTGTTGGTCTATCTATGAAAAGTAGGAAGCTCAATGTGGTACCGATAGATTCAGAACTTGAATTTGCAGCTCGCTTGATTTGCTGTTTTATGTAAAGACTCATTTTTAATTCAGGTACTTCGTGGAGGAGACGGAAAGGCAGGCTTCTCGGTAAGGAATCCTATGGGAGAGATTGTACATCCATATCAATGGCGAACCAGTGCCGATTATCAGGATCAGTCGATGACGGGTGGCTACTATGGCGTGTGCATCGACAACCAATTCTCTCGATTCGCTGCCAAGCTTATCAATCTTTACCTCACTGTCATTAGGTTTGTAAAGAATTATTGTAAAGTAATTGCTATTTACAATACACTATATTGTCTTCTAAGCCAGAGACACCAACAAGAATTACTTATTTGATGCTATTTGTTAATTGCACTTATTTTTATATACAGGTACGATCAATGGGATAAATTTCGCCTAGAACTGGAGGAACTAAATCTCTCCGTAGAGAATTTTACGGTATGTCAACAGTGTGCTTCTAATCTTTAATTCCTACGTTATGAGTATGTTCTACGTTATGTAATCATGTCGATTTCTCTTCTTACAGAACACTATAGTCAATGTAGAAAGGAACATCAACGAGATGCTGCAGACTCAACATATATCTCGAAGTCGGGAAGCTCGAGACATGAATCTCTTACTCGACAACAATTCTTATGTGCAGAAATGGTCGATCGCCCAAATGATCGTGATCACAGCGACCACTGTGCTACAAGTTTATTTTGTACGAAAGCTATTTGAGGTGAGGTCTTCCGGCTACTCCAGAGTCCGAATTTAAACTCAGCCAGTCTCTATGACAAATCACTTTTCGCTTTGCACTTTGACACAAATGACAGGCTGTGCAAGTACAACTTCAATGAAAAATATTGCGATCCATTTCAACAGAACACATTTTACGACACTTTGGTATTTTTCTGCGAATATTTGTGTACCTTGGTACTTTACTATTAATAGCAAAGTGCAATGTGAAGAGTAAATTGTCTCTGGTGGAATAGAGATCGACTGAGAGCTGCAATTGACAGTTCGTTAAAATATGTAAGCATGCAGACTGCGATACGCTCGATCAATGATCCAAACAAACCTATCATGTGTATAGAATTTGTAAAACGATTTATCTCTCCTGTGGTAAAACGCTCCCGCAATCGAGAGCGATACTTTAACAAGACTTTTAAAAGAGAACCTTATAGTTGAACAAATGTTTAAATGTTTATTTACACGTTGAGCACGTATTACCAAAAGGACTTGATTTTAAAACAAAGACTGCATTTACTTAGTTTGGATAGATCAAATGTAAAGCATTTTCTTTTTGCAAACTCCATGGACTTACATGCTTCCTCTTTGCGTTAACTGGTCACTACTCATGCGTACAGAAACATATTATGAGGTGACAGTATATTTTTGTCTTTGAAAACAAGAAGCAGGGTATCATTCCAATGCCTAAACTAAGGCCAATGGCAATTGTACCATTTCAGTGTCACATTTATTTTATATCAATAATCATGCGAGAACAGTCTCGGAAGAGAGGTTATATACATATATATATATATTTATATTTATATAGAAAATATAATTATAAACACAACCGCCTAGGTACTATTTCTAAGATTAAGATGTACTCAAAGCGGTATACTTTTGTTACAAATCTCATTCCTTATGCATATTATAGATCGACAATAAATAAAGTTTCGTAAAACTTCGCACCTTCCTTTGCCACAGTGATAAAACGTGAACCCATTAAGTCAACGAATAATACTAATGCGAGTACTTAAATGCCCTGTTACGTATATACAGAGAATCGATAAAAGTTTCAACTACATAACAGTAATTCTGCACGAAAAAAGAAAGTATGAATTTCACCAATTGAGTTGCGTGAACCAGTGACAGCCAACGAAATGCACTTTAATACTGTTTAAATAATTGCAGGGAACTTCTGGGTGGACTTGAACTTCTAATTAAAACACTTGCATAGAATCACGTGCTGTACAGCGTAAGGTACATACGTTTCAGTCTCTGTACAGTGCAGTGTTACGAAGAAGCGTGTCTTTAACCTCACTTAACCTCACTTTTACTTAACCAGTGACTCTCATCAATGAATATCGACGGATAACGGCAGCCGGACATGTAAATTGGCAGTATTAAATAGGATTTATTAATTAATCTATCGAGGAAAGCTTACCCGTTAACTTTCCTCCATACCAGAATAGATGCGACAGCATTTGATGTTAACTCGTAACTTGGTCAGAATATATTTTCCTAATTTTTTGGAAATGTTTTTATATAGAAATATTTGTATACACCTATAATATACATATACATAATGTGTTATGAAATACAGCCGACCAGGTTAGAGTTTTCTTGCGGTAAAAATAATATTCACTGTGCAGTGTACAAACCATTGTATGCGATGTCAACCAATGCAGTTTTTTCCCTCGAAGAGTAATCCATGGACCGTAAGGAAAATTGACTAGAACGAGTCTGACGACGTAGCTTCCTTGAAACTCACGGAGTGTGAACGACGAAAGATTGTTTGGCCCTTCCCTGCAAGACACTGCCTGTGAGTGCCAAGAGTCGATGCCGTTGTCTGAGGTTCCTGGCTCGAACATGTTCCGAAGCAACTTCTTTGGCATAGTTACCAGGAAACCAGCCCTGCTGACCATCCAGCAACTTCTCGCCATGGTACCAGCCATCAGCCATTTTCCGAAGAACGTTAATTACTTCCCCTGTACATCGATATCACATTAGATAAAATGAAATAATATGTTCGACATCTAAATTACCAATCGGTGTATTGAATATTTTCTTGATTGAAAATGAATATATGTATAAAATTTACAACTGTATTTTCTAAGCTGAAGTTCACTTTGTTAATTTTCACTGTGTTAATTTGCAAAACAAAGTGATTAAAAATTGTACCAGGTTGCAGAGTTAATTCATCCGGTTGCCTCGGGGAATAGGAATACAAGGCCATCATCTGGGGACAGTCCCATGTCTCGTAAAGAGTCTCTCCGACAAGGCAAGGCTTCGGTGGAGAGACTGCATCGAGCCATCGTTCCTTTTCTGTATCACTTTCGCAGGTCAAAATATATTCAACCTGTCGACTGGAAGAGTTCTCCAGAAGAGTTAGCATCATTGCATGTCTCCCTGTGAAGGGTGAATCCTCCGAAACAGACTCCAAGGCCACGAGATTTCTCTTACAGGTATCCACGACAGTGTAGGTGTCATCGTGGCTGCTGCATCAAAGAAATTTCAATGGTTAACTTTTTTCTTTTATGAAAGTGGGGTTTTTCTAGTATTTAGAATTTCCTTACGTACTTTGATTTCAGTTTGGCGACTAGAAGGTAATCCGTCAGCAGGAAAAGATGCAGCTGCACCTTATGGTACTTCCTGCCAAATGTTAATTTGTATTCTGTGTCTGACCTCGATGTCAATTGCACCACTGGTCCGCTTCTCACTAAAAACCGGTCCCTTAAGACAACTGGCGTAACTTTCTGGGAGTATTCCAATTTTCTGTGAGAATAGATATCACTGTTTAATTGACAAACACTCTAGAGAAACTCTCATGAAAAAGAAAATAAGAACTTTGAGAGAGTGGTTCCGAAAAGTGCAACCTATACATTGAAACGACACTACGATGTGAGGTAAGATTCATCAAAACAGGTTTTACACAACAAGGCGAATCTACTATTGTCCTTTCTTCTCACTAACCTCGCCAAAGCATCCATCTCGATTTTCTGTCCAGCGATCCTAGCTCCTTCGTTACATTCTGCGACGACACTGCTTAGGCTCGATAAAACCTTTTCCCATCTAGGTCTCTCCTCGTGATCGGTAGGGAGCTTCGTTAAGACAGCATCAGCCAATAAAGGCAATCTGAAATAGAATGGAAATGTTTAATCGAGCAGAGTCTATTTATTTGTTGCTTCGATCCTTTCTGTGATCTACCGGTCTCTCCGCACCAGATCCTAAAGTAACAAACAGGGGGAAATAGGTTATCCTACCTCGTCACTCTCTGCATCGGCAGCATTAGAAAGGAATGCAGCGACAAATTCTGACATGCAGGGTGCAATTCTATGCGAGATACCGTTTCTGCGAACTTTGAGGTTTTTCTTGCCCTGCAATTGGATATTCTTTAACATCGATTCGTAGAATGCATAACTTATAATTTCAAAGGTTTAATAAACGTTTAGGTTACCTCAGTTCTTTAAGAGTCGTATCTATGTTAACTTGATTCGAGCAATAGTCAACGTAGGCTTTGCAGCTGGCTTCAGCATGTTTCGTGAGGACTTCGGGCAGACCTTTCAACATCGGGTCAGCTCTCCAGATAATTTCAAGCTCTGCCAGGAGTTTTGCAGAGGAAGCAGCAACCCTGGCAATGCCTCCAAAGAGCTTTTCCTTTTCTGCAGAGGTTAGGATTTCGTTAACCAGCTCGTGGTTCTCTAGGAACTCGTCCTGTAAAACCCTCAAGGAATTCAAGTAGGAAGCTTCAGAGGTGACAACTTCAAACTTTGCTTCTTGGATTTTCTTCTGCTCCAAGGTGAGACTCTCTGAAATATTAGGTTATGATTAACTAACCTCTTTCATGTTTCTTCGGTCAAAAGTTTAAGGTGAAATGAAAGGGTCATTCTATATATATATACACACATCAAAATATTTATGAAACTTTTCTCCAAACTGGATGCACCGAATCGATAGAAACATTGGCATGAGATTATGGAGGTCCTAAAGAAGAACGTTTGCTCATGAAATTTCATTTTTCATAAACAATTTTTTTTATTTAGCCCAGATTAGAACCAAGAATACATATATATATTTTTTTCAAATTTTATGGGCACCACGTTCTTCCTTAGTACCTCCATAATCACGCATTGAAGTTTCAAATGATTCACTGCACCCAGTTTGGAGAAAAGTTTTATAAATATTTTGACGTTTTATATGTCTAGAATGACCCTTTCATATCACCTTAATAATGTTTAAAGATAATTACGCAGAAGCCCACTGTGGATCACTTGAGGAGTCTGACACCAGAGAGTTCGATGGCCTGGCTTTGCCAACTCCGTTGCTGCTGGCATTGTTTCTTCCACCTGAGAGAATAAAGGATTTGCAAGGTAAATAAAATTTAGGAGTAATGACAGAAATCATGGAATTCTTTTACGTAACATCGTGTACCTCTTCGTAACCATCTGAATCCGATTCAAAAGCTACTCTGGCAGCTGCAGCTGCATAAAATTGATAGAGTGGCTCCTCTGCAAGGACCGTGTAATGATCTGTTATAAAGGAAATCATGGGATTAGATTTAGAAATATAATAGAGTGCATAGATGCAAAAGTTTCGCCAGCCTAAGGTTTAAATAGTTGAAAAGAGGAATTTTTGACAAACACGACTATAAATTCAGTGGCACGATATACAATATAATATAATAATCTCCTCTGGACTAGTAAAAGCAATGTAAAAGTATAAAACCTCTGTCAGGCTTCTGATACCAGAAAGTGAAATTCCCATGCTTACGATCACAGTTAACCTAACAAATTTCTGAATACCATAAATTCCAAACAATTAATATCCTTCCCTTGATCTTTGACAATATCAAAAAAGAGGATTTTCCATGTTTACAGTCACAGTTAAACCAACACATTTACAAGCAATTCCAAACAATACTCTCTGTCAGGTCTTCGACGATACCAAAACCAGCTTATGATCACAGTTAACCTAACAAATTCACAAATCCTATAAATTCCAAACAACTGATACCCACTATTCCACCTTACAGATCAACAAATTAACATCAACATCTTGAAGCAACCAACCCACCTATACTAGCCCTCTCGGAGTACACCGAAGAGTCATCGTTATACAGCCCCACTTCGGAGTACCAATTGCTGCCGTTGTAGATCTCGTCCTTGGAGTCCTCCTTGGTTCTGCAGGTCCCATTTTCGCTTCCAGTGCCGCTGTTCTCCAGGTAGAAGGTCGAAAGGCCTGACAAGCCCTTCCTGAAGTGCTTCTTGAAGCTGAAGTACTTCCTGTGGTCTCCGGAGCCTTCGGAGCTCTCCTTCAAGGTCGAGTCTTCGACGGAGGTGTCCTGGTCCCCGGAGGCTCTTCGTCTCATCTTCCCCAGGCTGCCCTTGGTGATGCTCCAGGTCCTCCTTAGCATCCTCATCCGCTTCCCCAGGGAGTGGGTGAGACTTCCTTCTCTAGGAGGTGGCGGGGTTGGCCTCGAAGGAGCCTCCAAGTGAGGGAGAGACGTCTCTCCCTGGGTCCTGTCATTGCTGGAGTTTTCCGTCTCGGAATCCGTGCTGAAGTCGTCCGGTTGGAAAGGATACAGTGTCTCGTAGTTCCCGTCATCGGATGCTGCGTCTGCGGGACCAATAACTTAATTACCTCATTTTATAATTACATTGACAGAAAAATTAATTTCTAAACAAATTTAGTTACTTGAGCCTGTCTAAATATTTCTCGCTAAAGAAATCTCTTGCACGGAGAAAACGAAACAAAACAAACCCGTGCCTCTATTTTTAATCTACTTTATATGAGAAATAAATATTTGTCGAATTGAAGTGCCGCACTTTGGCGTTAAGTATTCGGTGCCGTTCGCGCATGCTTTTAAATGTATTTGGCGCGCAACTCTACCGAGTATCCGGATAAATTCCAGTCTGTCACAAGAATATTAATAATTCTTTCAAAGTATTTCACATTTCGAAGTGAATCAACTTTCCTTTTTAATACGTTTATTCGCAGAAAATGTCACAAGGACTAAAAGAGACTTGGCGAAGCTGAGCTCTTCAGAAAATTGAATATTCTTTGTAATTAGCCTTAATGTCATTCGATCTTATTTTATCGATAGGAGCCAGTAAATATATATTGACCCAAGAATTTATTTTTTCTAGAAAGTGATTTTTTCCCTAGGTGTACTTTCAACTGTAAGCATTCTACGATTTTAAGTCATACTGGTAAAAGTTAAGGGGCCGGTTGCGTCAACCGCAAATAGAGTGAAATTCCTTAACCGTGATTACTTAATCTCGGATTAGTGCAATTCGTATTACATCGAGAAAAACTGGCTAACCGAAAAGTTAAATCTGCTGTTAGGTAACCACCCGAAAGCGGACAATTAACTCTAATCACGCGTTAAGTAATCCTTGATTAAGAATTTTAACACAAATTATTGGTACAACTAGCCCAAGAAGTATTACAACGGAAACCATTGTCAAATGTTACATATGTAGACCCAAGGATCTAATTAATAATTTGCTTCTATTACCCTAACGATTTGGAGTCATACAGAAAGGATTACAGAGTATTACAGTAGTAACCGTCGTCACCCCGTTAATAAAAAAACTAATAAATTCATAAAACACGTACTGGAAGTTTTACACAGATAAACGCCTACACTGATAAAAATCGATGGAAATTTACATATATTTTCACATACCTCATAAATGAAGGTTTACATAGGAAAATATAAAATGTAAAAATAACGAATTTGAAAATGCATAAATGCACGTAGCATTGCATATTTATCGTATTAGTGCATTTTTACTTGAATTAGATGTAATATTACATTATAATTTTCATTAACTTAACTTAGATGCTGAATGCGATATTACGGAGACAATGTAATTTTACCGCAATTTATTGTGGCATCAAAATAGTCAATAATTGAGTATGTAAATTGACATGGGCATTATTATCAGTGTGGTCGCTTTATAAAATGACTATCCGGGTTGTAAAATAAAGCTGATTGAACGAAGATTTGACCATTTGGCCGTTTTACAAAACGCCGGATTTTACAATCTGCAAACGACATTAGCAGTCAAAGAGTTTATTGTTAGTCGTTTTATAAAACGTTTAGTCGCTATATAAAATGACTAACCGGGTAGTAAAATAAAGCTGATCAAACGAAGATTTGATCATTTGGTCGTTTCAGAACACGCCAGATTTTACAATCTGCAAACATTAGCAGTCAAAGGGTTAACGTTTATTGTTAGTCGTTTTATGAAATGCCTAGTCGTTTTATAAAATGACTATCCGGGTTGTAAAATAAAGCTGATCGAACGAAGATTTGATCATTTGGTCGTTTTAGAACACGCCAGATTTTACAATCTGCAAACATTAGCAGTCAAAGGATTAACGTTTATTGTTAGTCGTTTTATGAAACGCCTAGTCGTTTTATAAAATGACTAACCGGGTTGTAAAATAAAGCTGATCGAACGAAGATTTGATCATTTGGTCGTTTTAGAAAACGCCAGATTTTACAATCTGCAAACATTAGCAGTCAAAGGGTTAACGTTTATTGTTAGTCGTTTTATGAAATGCCTAGTCGTTTTATAAAATGACTATCCGGGTTGTAAAATAAAGCTGATCGAACGAAGTTTTGACCATTTGGCCGTTTTACAAAACGTCGGATTTTACAATCTGCATACGACATGGACCTTTAGTAGTCAAAGGGTTAACGTTTATTCCTAGATCTTCGAGGACCTGAAACGTAGCAGGACGCCTCCTGCGTGTCCCCAGCTTCGTCTGGACCGAGGACTCTCATCTGCAGGAATCCCGGATCGTCCTCGGTCCTGAGATCTCCTTCGGGCGCAGATTCGGGGAATGGAAAGGCTTCGGCTCTTCCGATAAGGAGAATCGATCCACCTCCAAGGCTGATCGCGACTTGAAATAACGATGCAAGGTCAGTTTGCGTCATCCCGTGGAAATATCTCCCGTGTCCTGGGACTTCTTGAGGCCCGACTTACCCTGGGTGTTGGGCCTCCTGAAGAAGGTCCTCGAGGTCCCTCTCATCTTCCCGAAAATACCCGAGAATCCGGGACATTTAGTGCCGACTGCCGGGAGGACTTGCGATTATTTCAAAATTATTCCGAATTTAAGAAACAGTCCCGCGGCCCATTGTTTCTTTTTCCTTTTCTCGGATAGACTTTCGGCGTCGAGTTGGAAATCCTTGGAGGTTTTCATGATTTTCCAGAAATTATTCCCGATCTTTTCGCCGCCCTTTGAAATTCACTCCGAGTCGTGTTTCTGGATATTCGATTTAATTGCATTGTTAAATATCGCTTCTTCACGGAAAACTACTTCTCCTTGCTTATTGTTTATTTCTTAATTGGGCATAGAACTTCTCCTAATAATTTTTTTAAAACAATTTCACCTATGCGAGGACATTTCGAGAACCTTATCGACTTTTAAAAATCCTCGAAACTATCCTTTACGATGCTATCTGAACATTGCTTATACTTTTCACATCATTAATAAATTAAGGACCATTACTGCAAATTTGTTTTAAACAATTTAAATTATGCGAGGACTTTTCAAGGACCTCATCGACATTTAAAACCCTGAAAATGATCCTTTACGATGCATCTAAGATGCTTTCTCAACGGTACTCAGACTTTTCACATCATTAATAAATTAAAGACCATTTCTGCTAATTTGTTTTAAACAATTTAAATTATGCGAGGACTTTTCAAGGACCTCATCGACATTTAAAACCCTGAAAATGGTCCTTTACTATGCATCTAAGATGCTTTCTCAACGGTACTCAGACTTTTCACATCATTAATAAATTAAGGACCATTTCTGCTAATTTGTTTTAAACAATTTCAGTTATGCGAGGACTTTTCAAAGACCTCATCGACATTTAAAACCCTGAAAATGATCCTTTACGATGCATCTAAGATGCTTTCTCAACTGTACTCAGACTTTTCACATCATTAATAAATTAAGGACCATTACTGCAAATTTGTTTTAAACAACTTCAGTTATGCGAGGACTTTTCAAGAACATCGCCGACTTCTCTCGAGCGTATCCGGCCTCGAAAACTGGTTTGGGAACCCACAGAAAGCACTGGTCCGCCCAGAAGGACCGGGGCATCAAGTCCGTCAATTTTCGCCCTTATCGTCCCCTTTCTTCCCTCGGGACCCCCCGAATAATTTTCCCCTCGTTCCCTGATGTTTTCCACGGGTTTTATACGATCCCGATTGGCGATTCTCCGAGGAACACGAGTCTGGGAAATTAATGTGCGAGCGCTCGCGTGGCTCGGCCGTGACTGAGAGCCGTAACGCGCTTTCACTCGGCGATGCTAAGGTGCATTCTCACTTATAGTTCGTTCAACGTAATTCAGGTCCTCCGTATCTGATAATACCCGAAAAAAAAATTATAAATAAATAATTAATACGAGGAATCATTTTAGAACGTATTTCTCAGAGCAGGCGCGCTTGCCTGCGACTTTGGAATTTTCATGAGGAATATTTATGAATCGTTCATAATTTTTATATCGTTCGTTTATTATAATCGTTCATATTTCGATGTTGCGAAATTAAGCGCAGGATTCTGAAGATTGGACGCGAAATTCTGAATGTTTAGGAATTTTTCTTGTTATTGTCTGTACACTATTTTAATAGGGAGTTGATTGTTAGTTATAGTTCTTTTATTGTTATATGAGGGTAAAGCCTTGAATTAATGTAAGGGGAAAATCTTGAGATTAAATCCGAGTGATGTCCTGTTAAGTACCTCGATTTACAGCAAAAATTATTAGGATATTTATGAATTTTTTAAATAATCTTTGTAGAAACATTTAGACATTCATGGATTACCCGTGACTATTGTTACATTAGAATTAGCCTTGGATGAAGCACAAGGAGAAAATGTTTCATTAAAAACTTAATTGAGAAATGCCACTTGGTTAAACGCTTCGATTTAATATGCGAAATGCATGAGAATCCTCTACAAAAGTTCTAATAATTTTTACTCATGGCTCTTGAAATTCACGAATTGCAAGTGCTTATTAATACACACGAATTGGCCTTGAACGAAGTATGAGGAGAAAATGTTTCAGGAGAGAAACCGAGCACTACCGACATCTGCAGATATCTCAGTACAGGCAGTGACTTTACCGACCTTATAGGTACACTTTATTCACTCTGTACAGAGTACTTCAAGTTATACGGAATTAATTTCCTTTTTACATTTGACTCTTCACAATGACCTAAAAGTGATTTAATTAAGCCCGGATTTAAAATGCTTCTGTAATCTTCGATTACACGGAAATGCCTTTTCTTTAATTATGTAGATAAGATTATTTATGTCTTAAATATTCCGAGCGTACACGTCATGCGCAAGTGCATTGTAAAAAGTGCAATTATCCATATATACGGCTATGAAATAGTCGCCTTTTATTTATGTTCGTGTTATTTTCAACAATTTCGTATATCCTGATAGATTTCATTTGTAATTCACTTATTTTGGGAATAGATTTAGGATGATTTTCTTTGAAATTAATTTTCTATGGTTTTATATCATATCGCAATTTTTCTTTAATTCGGTTTTAAACCATTCTCGCGGATGAAATTGATTTTGTATGGGAAGAATTTAAAATTCTTGAAGCCATTCGATGGTTACAAGCAAGTCCGTAATCATACTTACGATGACATCAGCACGTACGTAAAAGCAATTACGCACGTGCATACGTGCACGTACATTAAGTATTACAAGCACACGCGATAAGTGCAAACTATTCTTCAGTACTGTTAAACGAGAATTCTTATTCACGTTCAATTTACTCTTGTTGAGTAAATATATGTTAAAAATTATTTAAATCATTTTTCTATACGTTCATTATTACATTTATTGTTTTTTTTCTCTCAAGTGAAGCGATATTAGTATGCAAATAAACACGTATATGTATATACACTTGATACCACGTGACGAAAATAATAGAAGTACGTATTTAAATACTATTTACTTTTTGATACACAGCTTTCAATGACTTTCTATAGAAAGATGCAATTGATTTGAATATATAAAAAGAAATCGAATAGATATATGTATAATAGGTCTAATTACACTTTTATTCTTTTCATTTGCACCACAATATTTTACATAACCGCCCAAAAGTTGTTAATAAAATCATTTCGTCACGTCTATCAAATACTTGATTGTTCATATAATAACCATATTCTATGGTTGAGCCAATAAAAGTTTTATTGATTCAACCAAATATTTTTCAACACAAGTCATCATGTTCGCAAGAAAGGTACACATGTCCGTCATTGTACCAAATGATTAACAAAAACTCTGACCTAGTGATTATCTGCGATGTTTAGCCTGGTTATAATATTGGGGGTGATTTACCAAAATATTTCATGCAACTAATACAATTTATTCACCCAAAAGTCTTGTCACGATATCCAAATATTTAGTTATACGTATAATAACCATATTCCACGATTGAACGGAAAAAAAAAAAAAAGAAATTGTTTTGAACTAATTAAATATTTTTCTGCTTGTAGTCCTGATTTATAGTCTTTGCGAGTGCAATAATTTCCGATTGAGAAATTAACGTGAAAAGCAATTAACCTCTTCACCAACAATATCACGTGAGAGACGTCCCTAGTAGCATAGAATAATTTCTAAATATTTGTTTGTGATCTTCGCTAAATATCTCAAGCGACAGATTTTTTAAGATTTCTTGTAGGTTTCATTCGAAGATATCCGAAATATTTGTTGAAAATCTCATTGACATATTCAGTTTCAATCATTTATAAACATATATAGAAATTATATTTTTTTAATTAATGAACGTGTAATAAAAAATACATTTCTTTACTTCACGACTATTGTCCGACCCCTCATTTGGTATCAAAGAAACACGAGAAATTTGTCTAATATTTTCGTCCCGCTATTTCATTATAGGAGCAAAACGTGTGATTTTGATTTTAAGTATTTTTAAAACGTTTACAATGTATTCGGCGGATAATATTTAAAAAATACTTGTATTAAAATGAACGAAATATTTTGTATATCTGGTAGAAAAAGTATTATGAAAACACGTGGAGCTAATATTATATAAATATTATAGGGATAATATTCTAAAGTAAACGTTTGACAAATATTTCAAATGTCTGGTATTGGCAAAATGTACGATATTCGTTAAATATATAGAAAATATAGGAGAAATATTTTGTGCTACTAGGGGTGGTATATCAATGGGGTCAAATGTAAAGAAAACGTATGAGAGACGTCTGAGAATTTGAACGTTCAGCCAAAGTGTGAAAAAGCCCGATGTATGACCGACATTTTTTTTGCTTATGGCACGCGCTATTGGAATTTAAATCGTAAGGCAAGGGGTTAATAAAGTAAGGTATTGTATATCCCATTCGATACAAGGAAACTAACAATGCTCGATGGGAGTCTCTCGTATCAGAAGAGAGAAGCGAAATCCTATTCTTTTCACACGTGAGACGACATCGGGTACGCACGTAAGTGCGATTACGTACGCGGTACATGGCGATGAAAACATCAGAGGGAATAAGACTTTTACCGTGGCAAAGGTACGCGATCGCCATGCCGATTGCCGAGGAGCCGAATGCCGTAACGCAAAAATCCCAGGGAGGTTTCACAAGAGCGTTTCTTCCTCGGAAAACTGGACAATTGCCGGAGAAAGAAACAATCCGATTCCCCAACCTCACCGATGCGTTTTACAAGCCATCGTTGCAAGTCGAAACAAATAAACGAAAGTAATCCCCAAAGTAACGAAGTAAACTTAAGGTGACGTGAAACACGTCGAGGAACGTGACCGACATCGGTAGAAAAGGTTTTTCTAAATACCTACGTTGTCGACGTTTGTATTTATATCGACAGCCGTGTTGAATTATATTGAGTATTGTACTAAATGGCATACTTCATCTGTCGTTTCCGTACAATAATTATGAAGAAATCTAAGTAAAACTCCAGAAATCCCTGAATTCATGGTTTCTGAGGCCCTAATTGACTGCAGAGGGACCCCCTGCGCCATCTGTTATTTTTCGTGTCAATTAAATGTTCACTCCGAGGCCTCGTATTCCCATCGTTTTAGCATAGAAGCGCCCACAACACTTTTTTTGCCTTTATCCCGTTCAAATGCGAGTTTATCGATTACCAGAGTGTTTTAAATTGTCGTAAAATTGTCCTGACCCTTTCGGTTCTCATATCAGAGCCTTCGATTATTGTATATTGATCGAAATATGAGAGCTCGACGGCATTTTGGTTCTGGTCTGGGTTGATTTAAAAAATTAAAAAAAAATTCAAATTTTCAATGTGTCAGGACAATTCTTAGATGATCAGGAGTGATGTGTCAAAATTTCGGACAGTTTGGTCTAATACCCTTAAAAAAAAAAAGTGTTGTATTCGAATCGACTGATTTGAAGGGGGTTTCACTTTACCTTAAATATTATCATATTCATTTGCTCTCTTCGAGAAATTTTCTCATGAGATGTTTCATGCGTTTTGTGTAGCAAAATTGATCCCACGACCTGGCAGAGTTTCGCGCCAAGTGCACACCGTGACCCATGAGTATGCAATAGCGACGTTAATTCCCGACACTCGATGAGGCACATCGCCTCCGAAATCCGAGGAAAAAGTCCGAAAGGAGAGAAACTCGCTCGGTGAAATGCTCGATCCTACGAGACTAGCATAAGTTATGAGGCTGCTATGGGAGACAATGCGCTCATTATTCGGGGAAAAAGAAAAAGGAGTTCCTCGAGGCAATCCTCCTCGGCGTATCCTTCGGTTTTTCCCCGTCACGTTATATACATTTCAATTGTCCACTTCGATATCCCTTTCTACGCCTTGTAATCACTCTCGCGAGGGGACAATTACTGTCACGTGATCTCCGAAGGCCACGTTTTTTAAACAGAGATTTTCCTCGCATATTTTATTGCTCATTTTTACATACACCCGTCCCTCAATTTACACGGAATATCCATTCCACGTGGATTCGTTTTCGCCAGGAAAAACTGCAAAACCTAAAAATCAAACCTGTGCATACCTAATAACCGCATATATAGTTAATAATAATGAAAGAAGACTGCGAGTACATCTCGGTGATTACAAGATTGAAGAAATCTTTTAAACCAAACTCGAATCACTATCTCTTTACATTATTCTAAACAATGTATTAGTCTCCGATTTCCTCTACTTATATTTCCAGATATCGTGATATTTTGGCGAGTAGGGTACTTTGTATCTATTTTCTCCGTTATATCTTACGTTAACTTATCTTCTCCATTGCCTATACACCATTAATCACGATTCACAATTTTATATCTTACGAATTAATTAGATGCACGAATTAGAATGCGTTTGGCGCGAAACTCAGTCGAGACTATTTGCTTATCTGCGTCGCATAATGCATGGATTATATTTTGACAATAATTTAGGCCTGAAATACCCTGAGAAAGAAGTGTCATTGAACCAAAGAAATATTCCGAATAATATTTAACATTATATTACATTAATAATAATTCTGGATAATTAGTTAACCTAAATAAACTCGAATAAATCGGATGCAACGTTTATCCGGAATTATGACAATTTATTGGAGTCAAATAAATTATCATAATTCTAATAAGCAAATTATCTCTTCGGTTAAATGAATTCTTTTTCTCAGGGTTCAGTTATTAACTTACTTAAGGTGAAGTGAAACACGTCGAAGAACTTGATCGACGTCGATAAAGAAGAAGATAAAGAAGAAGAAGTCGTTTCCGTACAATAAATAACAAGAAATCGAGGTAAAACTTCAGAAATCCCCGGGATTCATGGTTTCTGAGGCCCTAATTGATTGCAGAGGACCCCCTACGCCATCTGTGATTTCCAGGTCAATTAAATTTTCACTCCGAGACCTCGTATTCCCATCATTTTAGCATAGAAGCGCATACAACACTTTTTTTTTACCTTTATCTCGTTCAAATACGAGTTTATCGATTACCAGAGTGTTCTAAATTGTCGTAAAATTTTCCTGACCCTTTCGTTTCTCATATCAGAGCCTTCGATAATTGTATATTGATCGAAATATGAGGCTAAGTTAAAAATTAAAAAAAAAAATCCAAATTTTGAATGCGTCAGGACAATTCTTAGATGATCAGGAGTGACGTGTCAAAGTTTCGGACAGTTTGGTCTAATACCCTTAAAAAAAAATATTGTATTCGAATCGACTGATTTGAAGGGGGTTTCACTTCACCTTAAGGATCTATTTTTATAAATTCTCGTTAATGTACTCACCAGAAGAGAAGGAATTTCGTTTCGTAATCCTGGCAGGACTCTTTTTCGAGGCCTTCGAGCGTTGTCTTCTCACCTTCCTGGACCACCTTTGGGCGAATTTCTTCTTGCCAGGTGTCTGTATCTCCCCGCTTCTAACACTACAAAAAAGATAAATGTACAACATCACAAAAGGGATGAATTTCCGGTAAATTTGATTACCGTATATTATGCAGAAAGTCTCTTCTAAACGTAAGTTGATAACGTATAAAGACCGTTATCAACCCAGGTAGCCGGAAAGTACGACGTCCTTTCTAACAACGGGACCTTTACAGTTTCTTCCGATCATGCGAACCGTATCAAGAATGGAGAAAATTGCAGCTGCAACTGCAGTCCAATAAACCGTAACGTAATTCCATCGAGGAACGTTCCACGTGGCGAGATTTCACCTTGTGCGATACCGCTGAATCGTCACGCCTGATTTTTACTAAAATCGAATTCTTTTAAACATTTAGCGGTAGAAAAATAACTAACTAACGTTTCCTATCTGCATTCTAAATAAACAATTAAATAGCAGTAAATAAATAACAAATTAGAGGTTAATACTAAATTAATTATTACACCGTAGTATTTAATCCGGCGCACACGCACGCCAAAATTTTTGTTTTTAGCTCGAACGACGCAAGATATGGAAAAAAGTTTCTAACGAAAGATTTGGAGAATGATATTCTCAACAACTTTTTCTTGAAGAATTTCTCCTTAAGGCGTACCTTTGAATGAGAAAATCGCGATTACACTTCAGTCTTCAAGGTCTCACGTAACCTAACCTCATAATAGATAACTCAATGATGGTAGCCTGATAAAACCAGTAGAATCGCCACTTGGAGCCCGAAATTTCCATTTTTCACTTAAACGAGGCATAATGTGAGAAAATGTTTCCAACAAAAGATTCGGAGAACAGTATTCTAAGCAACTTTCTCCTGAAAAATTTCTCTCTATCGCATACTGTTCTTAGTTTTCTCCGAGGAAAACCTATAAAGGGTTCTCCAAGCAAGAGAGAGAAGTTCTTTCAGGACGTCGAGCTCTGCACCGACTAAAGGAGCAAGGACACTCTCTCACCGTGGTCCATTTCTTCCAGGACCTCGTCCCTGTCCTGGGAGAGAGCTGGACGCATCCTCCAGGTCCTCCCACTCGGATTCCTTTCCGTTAGAGGACGATCCAAGTTGCGATCCACCGCTAGATCCTGCGTAAAGGCTGTTGACCCTTTCCTGGCAGGACTGGGAAGGCCTCACGTCGTCGTAGAGGATCTGCTCCCGATCCTGACGCTCCTCCACCGTGGAATAATCGTTCCCAATGGCGAGGTACTGGTCTTCAGGGTCCTCCTCAGGTATCTTGGAGACACCCTGAAGACCCTCGGACATCTTCACGACCCCCTGAAGATCCCCAGACCTTCTGGAGACACCCTGAAGACCGGAATCGAGGACGACCTCCTCCTTCGTAGGAGTCTTCGAGGCCACTCGAGGACTCTTCTCGCTCGTCTCTTCCAGGATTTCTGAACTCCTGGGCAGCACGTCGTCGTAGACCTTCTCCTCTTCAGGGTCGTCCAGGTTTCCTGGACCCTTTTTCACAGATTTTGGGGAACATCCAAGTACCTGAGGGTTTTTATTCTCACTAGAATTGATCCCTTCCGCGGATTTGAAGGACCTGGGCAGCACGTCGTCGTAGATCTTGTCCTCTTCAGGGTCCTCGAGACTGCCTGGAGGTCTTGGGGGTGATTCCTGGTACTGGGGTTTTTTATTCTCCGTTGAGGTGGCTTCTTTCGGAGATTCGAGGGATCTCGGTAGCACGTCGTCGTACACCTCGTCTTCTTCAGGGTGGTCCTCAGGGTGGTGAGAATCTCCTGGGGACTTCCTATCCTCCTTCTGGGACCGGGGACCGATGTCGTCGTACAGGTCCTCCTTGGAGTCGGCTCTGAAGAGGTCCTGTCAATTTTATAAAAATTAACATCTGCATTATTCTATAATTATTCCGAACTTCGCTAACGAAACCGATGAAAAAGAGATCAAAGCGAAGTCGAGGCGAGCGTAAAAGGTTTTGCTGTTACGGAAAGATGGACGATTAAATTTCTCGAGGAGAAAACTCGAGGATGATTTCCACTTATGAATATTTCCGAGCCAGGATGGTAATTACGGCAGGTGTGTCGCATCCCAAACGCACGAGACGACACGTCGAGGAAACTTTCTTTCTTGGAAGAGATCGAAAAAGTCTCCGGTCTTCGCGACGATCGTTTTTCACCCGACAATTGATCACCTCGGAATTTATATTTTATAGTTCACTTCATTTCCACTATTGAAACTGCCCATAAGAAAAAAAGAAGCTTAATGGAAACCCACGTTTAGGAATTTGTCAAAAGAAAACCCTCTTCAAGATTCCCTCTTTCAAGTTTTGCGCAAATTTAAGAGTGCTTCAGGTGATTGATTTGTTTGATTGTTACACTTTGCATTTTATAAATGATAAAAAATAAATTATACTTCGTGAAGGTTTTTCCCAGGCAGTTAACTGCTAGAATTGTTACTCTAATATATTTTAAATTGTCAAATAAATTATCATAATTCTAATAAGCAAATTATCTCTTCGGTTAAATGAATTCTTTTTCTCAGGGTTCAGTTATTAACTTACTTAAGGTGAAGTGAAACACGTCGAAGAACTTGATCGACGTCGATAAAGAAGAAGATAAAGAAGAAGAAGTCGTTTCCGTACAATAAATAACAAGAAATCGAGGTAAAACTTCAGAAATCCCCGGGATTCATGGTTTCTGAGGCCCTAATTGATTGCAGAGGACCCCCTACGCCATCTGTGATTTCCAGGTCAATTAAATTTTCACTCCGAGACCTCGTATTCCCATCATTTTAGCATAGAAGCGCATACAACACTTTTTTTTTACCTTTATCTCGTTCAAATACGAGTTTATCGATTACCAGAGTGTTCTAAATTGTCGTAAAATTTTCCTGACCCTTTCGTTTCTCATATCAGAGCCTTCGATAATTGTATATTGATCGAAATATGAGGCTAAGTTAAAAATTAAAAAAAAAAATCCAAATTTTGAATGCGTCAGGACAATTCTTAGATGATCAGGAGTGACGTGTCAAAGTTTCGGACAGTTTGGTCTAATACCCTTAAAAAAAA